TGGTGCGAGTTTTCACAGCAGTGATCGTGCTGTGGCTCGGGGTTACACTGGTTCGGCATCTGTGGCAGACAACTTCATCGTTTTGGAAGGATGAAGACGTGGACCTGGGGCCCATCGAGTCAGATATGGATATCCCCCAAGCTTTTGTAAAGTCATCCGAGGGAACATCGACGCCTGTGGTTGTTGTTGAGGAACACTATGAAGGTTAGGAACACATGTATTGAGTAGTGAGTGAGTTTAGTTTTACACCGCTCTCAGCAATATTCCAGCTTTATGGCAGTCTGTAAATGATCGAGTCTGGACCAGACAATCCAGTGATCAACAACATGAGTATCGATCTACGCAAGTGGGAACCAATGACATATGTCAACCAAGTCAGCAAGCCTGACCACCCGATCCCGTTAGTCGCCTGTTATGACAAGCATGGGTTACTGAAAATCACTTCTAGCCCGGATCTTCACGGGTATCATACGTATAAGTTACAATCATGTCATGTAATGATCTATACATCAGAGCTTGTAATTTCTATACCTGGTTTTCACTGTTGATTCGGGCTGCACATTTAGCCAACAATCCGAGTCCAAAGCATTTGGTGATATCAGTACAATGTCTTGTTATAACAGGACAGGTGTAGTATTTTGATTACTGTTCTGTTTTCGTTTAATGCCACAATCGACATTATTCCAGCTATATGGCGGGAGTGTGGAATTAACTGAGTCTGGACCAGACAGGACAGTGGTTGACACCATGAGCTATGATCTACACAACTAGGATACAATGACATGCTTGTTTTAATTACCAATGTACAAAAACATAGAGACAGGTCTACACCTGGAATCTGTGTTTGTTGCACTAGAAAATATAAGAAAACACTGCTGATGTTAATGAAAGTTTAAACAATTATTCTCTCACAAACAAAATGTCTTCACATGTGTTCATCTGATTCTGAGAACCAATGAATGCTGTGTTTCCTGTGGTCCAATCACAACCACCAAATAATCATTCTGTCACCTTGAACTAGACAACAGCCTAGGCACATAATTATGCCACTAATAATATAATGACCATTTAGCCTTTCTCCTTATAAGTCCATCAATTCAAAGTGTATTGTGTCGATCAGTTAATCTAGAATCTGGACTAGAGACAGTTCTCTCCAAGTTGTGTGTGTGACTGAACCTATGGTGATCCATGTTTCAGTGTTGAAGTACTGGTTTGCTGCCTCGGAGAGCGGGCTGGTGCCATCAGCCGGGGGAATGTCCTGGTGAGTTCCAGTACATCATAGATACATGCTTCCAGCATACACAACATTCTTGATGGAGTGGCAGAATATGTATACTGAACATGTGTACCCAGGGTTCAATGGTTCTAATAAGAATCATAGCCCACTGTTAAAAGGTTTACCCAAAAACCCATGCCATGCATGCTAATAATAAATATTATAGCCCAGTAGTGAATGTGTGGACCCATCAGGGTTTTACCTCAACTCACAAACAAGAGGGTTCCAGGGACCCCTAATTATTAGTTTCAAGAGTCCTTGTAGGCAATACGAGGGTCCTATAAAGTAACAGAGTAGAGAAGTGTATGTTTTGATAATTTCTTTAGAGCCTGGAATGAATCATTGATCATGTGGACTGATGGATGAAATGATGCACATAAGGCCGGAATTTTTTATTAATTGGTTTACATATCCGTCGACCCTAATTTTTGGCAATGGCAAATAAAAATAAAATTTCAATGAGAAGTGTTTTTTATTACCGCCGAGTCCTGGGTATCAAAACCTACATTAAAAAAAAAGATTGACTGACATACCCGATATTAAAATCAGTCGTCTATCTGCACTGGTTCAGAAATAAATATTTCACTTGTAGAAAATCGTGGGCACGACTACGTATCAATAACAGTGACTGAAAACACTTATTACATTTCAAATGACCCTATATTATCGACAGAATTAGAATTATAAGCTATTTTCGCAATGTTATTGAAATAACAATTATCGGACACATGCTTCGGCAACAGGTCCACATCAAAGTAACGATGTTTTGACATGATAATTAAACAAATTGAATAAACTGAAGAAACTGAAGAATATATTCAATAACAGTACTCATAAAAGTTGTCAAACATACATTATAACTTACTATTTCCATGTTTATTGTGCGATCGTGTAATGTAATTCAAGTGACATCTCGGCTTTCGTCGCCTCGAAGTTCGCGCTCGGACACGATGTTTAATGCTAAAATATATGCATGAAGCATTTTTGTCACAGGTCATAACCTAGCACGATACGTACGCGCAGGGGATGTCAACATCTTTTTGATATTATTACAGATTTTAGAAAACTCACTCATTCACTCTTATGATTCACAATAATTACTCTTCTCTTACAATAACAAAATTTGAATCCTACCAAAATGAGACAGACACTTAAAAAATTGAAGACTTTCAAATTTTTATTTTATTTATAGACCCTAGTTTGTTTTTTAAAATCCATAAACCAATTAATAAAAAAACCAATGATAGAAGAGAAACAAGAAACCAAAGCCATTGATGTGTTGTGGGTACAGTGAATAATATTGTGTTTCATTTGCTGAATTGTTTTTCCCATACTCTACATTTGTGAACTAGGTGTACCTAAACACCCTGCCCATGTACCCAATTATACTTAAACAGCCCATAAACATAATAATATGGTCCACTATAATAGCCCAGAAGATATATCCAAGTTTCATATACTTGCTAAAGAGAATCCCTTCATGCTTTAGTATATCCAGAATATTGTAGTCCTGCAATGAGAATCTTTGCCCCATAGTGAACCACCAATAGACACGTACCAATGAAGAAGGGACCAAAACCACCGATGCTTCGTTACCAGTGATAGAAGAGACCAAGATATGGACATGCTAAAATAAGCATGCTAGCCCCCAAGTGAACAGGTGTACCTAAACACACCATGATTTTCTTGAGAATAATAGTCCCATAGAGAAGATATGAGCTAAAGAGTCCCATGCTTTTTTTTAGAATATAAGTCCCATAGTGAATGTATTTACTGAAGATCCCCATGCATTAATAAGAATATTAGCCGCATAATGTATGTACTAAAGAACTTTTACAAGAATATTAACCCAATAGATAATATATGTGCTGAAGATACGAATAATGGGCCAGAGTAAACAGGTTGACCCAAGTGCACCATTGTGAACATGTGTACCCTAGTACCACTATGTTCCAGGGAAAGAAACCTTTCAAAATTTCCCACTAGACCATAGGACCAGTGAGTGGCAATAATTAGTGGTCCTGTCTGTACTTCACTGTTCCAAAATAACATTCGTAGATTTACTTAACTATCAATACAAAATTCATTGGCCACCAGGACCACTGCAAACTTATCATTTAGTGGTCCTGATGAATTTTTACTAGGCAGGGACCACAGGACCAGTGTAAATTTTGCACACTGTGCTTGTAATAACTGACTGACTGAGTTTGGTTTTACGCCGCTTTTAGCAATATTCCAGCAACATCATGGCGGGGGACACCAGAAATGGGCTACACACATTGTGCCCATGTGGGAATTCGAACCCGGGTCTTTGGCGTGACGAGCCAACGCTTTAACCATTAGGCTACCCCACCGCCCCTGGCTTGTAATAAGATGCTAACGAATGTTGATAGATGGTACACTGTGTCACATGTGTTACCAAACCCAAAATGTAGTGGATCATTGTTATCTTGTTTATTACACCACACTCTGAAATATTCCCGCTGCAGGACATCTCTCTGTAAATACTCATGTCAGGTCATAGAATCCAGCGGTTGACGTTATGACCAATGTCTAATGTTTGGTGTGTTTTCGCGGCAGTTCCATATAGACGGTCACAGTGACAGTGGTGCTCCACTTGACATCAATGTACTGCCTCTGTTCCGAGCCCCAGCCAACATCCAGGAGGTCAATAACATGATGCAGAGAAATGATGTATTTATTGTGGTGAGTACATTGGGTCACAGATACATTATGTATATTTAGTGGTACCATGGTACATTGCATCAGGATAAAAAAAGATGTACTCTATACGGTACATTATATCACAGAGTAAAGATGTGTTCATAGTGGTACATTCTGGTACAGAGACATTATGTATTTGTTATAGGTTTCGGCACCAGTACCAGTGATAGACTAATCGCATTGAGAGATGTTACAATGATAAAGTAGACCGAACACTACTGATAGACTTGTACCAATGATAGAGTAGACCAATACCACCAGATAGACTCGTACCAATGAAAGATTAGACCAAAACGAAAGATAGACTTGTACCAATAATAGAGTAAACCAAAACCACCAATAGACTTGTTCCAATGATAGAAGGGACCAAAACCACTGATAGACTCCTACCAATGATAGAGTAGACTGAAACCACTGACAGTCTTGAATCAAACCTTGGAATTGTTCTTCACTTCAGGCTGCTGCCCTTGCTGGCCTCATCGACCGTTACATCTGGGTGTGGCCTCCATGGGATCTGCCAAATCATGAATCAGATCACGTGATGATCGACATGCAGGTTGGTTACTTACGCCCGTCAATGTCAGTCACTGACAAGCTGGAACTGTGTTATTGCATGGAGATGCGGGACACGGAATTCAGCGAGTGTCGAATGAGGAATGCCTCGGACCCTGAAGGCGATGGATCACTGATTGGTCGGTCAGGGTGTAACCTGAACAAATCTGGAATAGTGGAGGTTGTGAGCGAACAGAAAGCCATATCTTTGATGCAGACGGGCCAGTGGATTACCCCCCTTGATAATGTTATCCTTGACATTGATGAGGACTATTATGGCTGCCAGTCTGCAGGAGAAGCTCTGTACTCTGCTGGAATCAAGTCCAATGTTCTAAATTCTATCACCGATATCATGTGTGAGTTGTTCTGTGCCCGGAGCGTCCAACATGAGACCGTGATCGATACTTTCTTCCACACTCTTGTACAGCTCGTCCACAGGTTAAAGACAGACGCAGATACAATTCTCAAAGACAGTACAAAAACCAAAAAAGAACTGGAGGTACAAAAAATTGTGTACAGAATCCTGCCAGAAATATTCAAACACCTCAATGAGGATCCACTCAGTGAAACACTATGTAACAATCCCACCGATATGGCAAATGAGTTATTCTTACAAGGAATAATTCGCAATATCGTACATATGGACATCAAACAGTTAACAAGCCTTGCAGAAGCAGGCGTCTGCCTTCAACTCTCACCAAAAGCCCACTATTTTAATGTAGCGAACAGCATCCAGGTTTGCGAAGGAGCAAATACCCCAGACAGCAAAATGGTTCTCTTTCACACACCAACACCTTTTGAGGTTCATGAAAGAACATTGAATTTGAAAAAACTACTTAATTCTAAATCAATCAATCCCTCACTGATAACAGTGTGTCGGTCAGTCAGAGATGGGTACACTCCTCGCAAACTTTTCCCAAGGATCGAAGCAGACGTCTTGAAGATCCTCCACAACGTGTTCCCCGATGTTCACTATGCATCCGTGTATCATGACAAGGATCTGCTTGGTGGCGTCACGGGGTGGCATGACCGACCCTTCCAGTTTGAAAGTACTTATGTATATCAGCTTCTTCAAAAGCATTCAATCACCAAAGAAAACCTATTTTTATGACATCTTTAAGAAAGGGTAACACTATATGGAGGAACAGGTTCTGTATTACAGTGAGAGCAACATTTCAGTGCGAGTTCTAACTAGTGGTGGTCCGAGTAATTGAAATAATCAAGATTGGTCGCAGTCACTAAACGACCAAAGCAATTGAACATGTTTTCTCGTAATCGAACACAACCAATCTTGGAAGACTCGTTGCATTAACAACATTTTTCACAAGGCTGGTTTTGTCTGTGTCATTAAATTTACATTTCATAAGCACTACAAGCTCGTTCCAAGTCATTATTGAATTTATCTTAAAGAATCAGGAAATATGTGTTCCTAACATACTAATCATTTAAATATGCAAAATTTGCAAATGGACTTTATGCAATTTGAAAAAAACCCACCAAATTACTACGTTTTTTCTTTATTTTTTTGTGTGCATTAACAAAAATAACAGGAACATTTGATTAAATGACGCTAACCAATTATTTTCGATGATTGATTAGTTGTAATGGACCAATCATCAATTATTAGATTTTCAACCAATTCCCAACACTAGTTCTAACACCGTTATCAAGGGATGAACCAGAAACATGCTTGCTTCTTTTGCTTGATAAATGCTTGAGAACCTACGCTGAAACATTGCTCTCAATGTAATAAAGAAGTTGTTCATCCATATATATAGTACTTACTTTCTGCTCCAACTTCTAAATGCCGTTCATAGAAGTTATCTTTAAGAAAGTTCTGGAAGGTGTATTATCAATGAAGATAGAGTGGAGTTCTATTTCTATATCTTTTCAATGCACAGATGTTGTATGTTTATCAAATCAGCGGTGTGAATGGATGTAGTGATATATTTACTAGTTCGTCATCAATACTTCATGGATGTTTATACACCATGTTCCTCCCACAGACATGAATACACTGGGCGGGTATGCAGGGTAATTGCTATTTTAACCAACAAAGTAAATGACTGCCTCCTTCCACGAGGCAGGATGTATACTTGTGAGTTCTCAGACCAAGGATTGGTCTGATGATGTAAACAATATTTCTCATGCAGCATGTGGCGATTGTTACTGACATCTACAAGGTTCTATATATTACATCAGCCAACGATAGATAGGATTCATTAGAAAACTATTCCCCCTCGGAATAAGGCTCTTTTGGAAATTTTGAAACCAGTAAGTCCTCGTTTTACAAAGGGCATTACTTGCTACTTGACACCATGTACAATACCTGCCCTAGCTTTGTGATTATCGGCTCCACACACTGCTTCAGTATATGGCAATGGAAGGTCTCAAAAAGTTCCTGCAGAGAGTAGAGCTCATTTGACTTACGTGAGTGAGTGAGTTTAGTTTTACGCCGCACTCAGCAATATTCCAGCTATATGGTGGCGGTCTGTAAATAATCGAGTCTGGAACAGACAATCAGTGATCAACAGCATGAGCATCGACCTACACAACTGGGATACGGTAACATGTGTCAACCAAATCAGAGAGCCTGACCACCCATCCCGTTAGTCGCCTCTTACGACAAGCATGGGTTGCTGAAGACAAATTCTAACCCGGATCTTCCGTGAGTAATGCACCCACACCTCATATGGGGCAAATGTACCAATGGGTGATGGAGGTGCATGTTGTATGCAAGGTATTTAAGATGCTTGTTGTCGAAAGATTTTATTTATTATTTTGTTTAATCCTAATTTTGTTAAGGAATTTATGTATATTTTATTTTTTTTAAACCTTTGATCCTCATATTTTGATAGAGAGAATCTGATATCTCACATACACTTCACATCTGGGAATTTTTGTGTATGTTTGAAAGATAAAGATATCCCTGTCAAAACTTGAGCAGTATGTTACAGAGATTTGTACGTTATTTTACTTCGACATGTTGTTAGCCTTTGTCAGGCAAGACATTCAGTCATGCTCTTTTTCAGGGATGACGTTATGCAAGATCACATCACATGACACATTAACACATTGTGAGTTTTCTTTGGTGAGAAATGCAGCAGTGACAGATATTCCAGGTTTATCATATACACATATATTCCTGTAAATATCCACGCCTTGTCCAGACAAACCAGTGACTGATGTTATGAGCAACACCCCAACACCACTGTGATTTGTCTTTATCATTGTGATGGTGACTAATCTATTTTGTATTCAAAACTGATGCATTGTTCCAGAAATGCATATCACTGTGTATAATGTCTCTCACAGAATGTTTCTCGCTAACGATCCCGAAAACAATCAAAATGATTGGCAATCAAAATGATTGGCAAATATCTGCAATCAATCTTTTGTCCTTGTATATGTTTTTATATCTTATGCTTATCATACAAAATTATATTCAAATCAGAAACAATATGCAAAATGCAGGCCAGTATTCGTGATTGCCACTTCCCGTATTTCAGCCATAACAGAACATGGAGTAAATGGCTACCTAAAATGTTCTGTCATTTGCTAGACAATCTTCAAACCAAGATGGTGGTCACACTGTCAAATCTGCAAGTAACATAATCAAGCACTTCTTTTGGCAAGTACTCATGAGCCATCTCATTAAATCTCTAATGTTTAACTCCAGTTCAATAACCACCACCCCCCACCCAAACCTTCCCAATGTTTAACCACACACAGAGAACTGAGGACACCTTCATGGGAGGTTGTGTCAGGTAAACCCTATCCCAACTTTGACAGTCCAGTCACACTGAAGGATGAGTGAGTGTTTGAGCTTATCAGATTTCAGCATTTTTAAACTGATTCATCATCATTTCCTTACCATAATTTGGAAATTTCAGTTTGTACAAAACAAAACCAACAAAGAATGCAAATATTCTGTTTTCAAGAATAAGAAATCAGACATACTGGTCCAAACAGTTTGGTCACTTGTGTTCAGAATTAATTAGCTTCAGTGCTGATTGGCTGATCAGGGTCAGAAGATGAAACCTCCCATTCAGGCGTCGAATGTTCACGCAGAGAAGTACTTAGCAGTATCCATTGAAAAACCTACCAGTATGTTATATATTGTAACCACTGTCTGGTACACTGGCCCGATACACGGTATCCTCATATCTACTGTACACTATCCTGCCACTATATTTGAAAAAAAGTCCAAAAAGTGTGGACGATCCAATCTCATCTAACATTTTTTTAGCCAATGAAATTGCTGCACACACTCCCACTTAATTTGAAAATGATTATCAAGCACTGTTGTGAAGCAATAAATACAATATAAATAATCGTTGTTTGGCTTCTTCTTTATAGCCAACCCCACTGACCAACGGTTAGAGCGAGTTTACTCTTGCAGGTTTCAGTCCGGCTTTGATTCGTGTTTTACTTCCTATCCAAAACAGGCACAACCAGTCCAAGATCAGGTTTGTAGGGTTGTCTCCCCTTGCTGCCATGATCTGGTGGTAGTAATTTCGAAAATCTGCATTTACCATGATTCAGAGCATTTGTACCCAAGTTAGCCCAATAGCCAAGATCACAGGTTTCACCAAAGTGGTAAATATTTATATACTAGTAAATCAGTGTGTGAAATAAGGCCCGTCTGACAGCCAGAGACGGTCTAGATTTCTGACGGACGGTCTAAATTTACAGCTAGCCAGCCCGATGGTCTGTTAAAAATTTTAGATGTTCCATACATCTGAGTAAATTCACCATATTTGTTCTGGTTAAATCCATATTGCTCTGGTAACATTTTTAAGTAGCCAGCCCTGATGTCTGGCTGGATTTTGGGCTTATTTCATACACTGATATAATGCCTCCCTTTGAAAATTTCGATTCAGACGACCAGATCCCATTAATCACCTCTTACAACATCCAGATCCATTTCATCACCTCTAATGACCAGAATAGGCTACTGGGAACGTATTTTAACCCAGAATTCCCAGATCACAGATTTGTATCTCTTTGTGAAACATAAATGGTTTTAGGTAGAATGCATATTGATGCAAAAAGAACACAAATATATTGATCAGTTATGTTTATTGAAGTGACAAAGAGGTATCACCTCGCAAATAAACAATGTAGAATTCACAGAAAGTCAACATAAAATTGTCATAAAACTATTTAAAAACTTTTCAAACATTGTAAAGATGCTATACAATACATGAAAGTGAGATGATCACACGCTACAGAGACATGGGGAAAGGACCAGCCATTTAATCTTTTTGGGAAAAGTGTTTCAACAAACTAATGTTTCAGTAAGGGACCAGACATTTAATCTTATAGGGAGGAGTCTGTTTCAACAAACTAATGTTTCAGTAAGGGACCAGACATTTAATCTTATAGGGAGGAGTCTGTTTCAACAAACTAATGTTTCAGTAAGGGACCAGCCATTTAATCTTATAGGGAGTAATGATAATTCATTGTTGTTTTCATGAAAATATAGATTTTTATGGGATTTGAGCTTCATTTTAGTTGTGATAACAAATATAGTTTGTAGTAATTATCACATAATTCCAGGGTCTTCTTGTTGGTATTGTAAACCAACTAAAACAACATAAAAGGACTCAAAAAGTTACAAAACATATAAGTACAAACATGTAAGAAATACAACATTTTTTTAACATTATTTAATAAAGTACATTCACAAAGTAGTCTGTCAAAGAATGAGGGCACGCTTATTGTAGAAACATAGTCCCCATCTTGCATATAAATTAGTGTTATTTTAGATTTTTCCACTAAACTTTTTCATTTTCACCAAAGAAACTGAAGGGTTTACAAAAGATCTGAAAACTTGACATACAAACTGTTCTGGAGAATAATGCTATGTTATTATTTGAATAGATGAAACATTATTCAAATGCTACATTCCAACTACAACTACATCAACAACATCTACCTTGTATTAACATCACTCGTCATCTAAGATGATTATGATCATACTGTAGGATTGTACAATTATTTCTATTTGGCACTTCATTTATGTACTACCTATCAAAAGTTTAGACTCACTTAAAGCACTCACTATATGTTATGTATATATATATATGGTTACAACGAAAATGAATTATTCCACTAACTTGGGGGAACCAACTGCAAACTTTATGGAGATGAATTACACAATGCTCATGCATCAAACTGCTGAAATGCATGTGCAAATATGCATGTGAACAGCTGTGTTTTGGTGTAAAGTTTTGTTAATAATTAACCAATTTTCACTGAGTTTCATCATTTTTTGAATTCATGACAGTAATCTTTTCAACATTACAAATTTGTTTTGCAATACATCAGTTCATGTGTAAGCATTACCTTTAAGCAGTATAGAATATTTTGCAAAATCTGGTTTAGAACAGTTGACTGAATTACGTGGCTACATTTACACTAATGAGTCTAAACTTTTGATGGGTAGTGTAGACTAGAGAATGAACACAGTACATAAAGTTTCAGGTAGGGCTCTTAGCTTATTTGGGGCGGCGGGGTAGCCTAGTGGTTAAAGCGTTCACTCGTCACGCTGAAGACCCGGGTTCGATTCCCCACATGGGTACAATGTGTGAAGCCCATTTCTGGTGTCCTCTGCCATGATATTGCTGGAATATTGCTAAAAGTGGCGTAAAACCAAACTCACTCACTCACTCTTAGCTTATTTCATACAGTTTACATATCATGCAACTACAATATGTGACCTGTTTCATCAAAAACATATACTCTGAAAAGATATAGTTTATATAATTATTATATAGAATATATAATTGTATATTATCCTAACAAATATAAATGTTCTTGTGGCTGTGAATTATTAATCTTGTTTCGATATAAAAAAAGTATTCCATATTTAAAAAGTATCAGTATTTAAAAAGTATCACCATTAAAAAGCATTGAAACAGCGACACTGTTGTATACCATGACATTGTTATATTGACTAGAACACATGACAGCAACACCACACACAGGGATGAGCATGGTTATGAGTGAAACAACAAGGAAAACGAGCTGGGGGTTTGGGGCCGCAGGTTTAGATGTTTCACAAGATTGACCTCAATGTGATCAAATCCATGGAATTCTGCGGATCTGCGGAAAATTCTCATCCCTGCTCACACAGACAGCCCCAGCTACAGTAAGGACATCCTTATCCTACAACTCTAGATGCATCTCTCAGAGCTGGTCGTCCCCAACACATCAACAATAGTTTTCAGGTCATTTCTGAGCTTGTTTGATAGCTATTTCTTGGAAGTTGATGGATGACAAAGAAGAGAGATAGACAAACTGAGTTTACTTCCAAAGAATTTCATGTTCACTGGAACCCACCCCTAACCCCAGTCAACCCAAACAGCTCTCCACGAAACAAGATTTTGGTGGGATGAAATAGGTTCTGGGTGGATGGGGTCCTATTTGGATGGAAGAAACCTTGTTTGGGTCCAGTGGGGACATATTGGTTGAAGGGTGTTTAGAATGCAACAAGGTCTTTTAGGGTTGAATGAGGCCCTGTTAAGGACATTGTGAGGCCCTGTTTGGGATATAGTGAGGACCTGTTTTCAAGATTGGATGAAGTGTGGACCAATATATTTGGAAAATGCACCTATTTGATACAACAATGTATTGTGTGTTTGGGTGAAACAAGGACTAACTCTCCTATCTACTCAAACAAGCATATAATGTGGTTACATATTTCTTTACACTGTACAAAAGGTAGCATGGCTTGTCCGTGAGATCAAAGATTACTGAACATGAAATACAACCTGCAGCAACCTGTCGCCCATCTTCATCCCAATGCAAACACCATGTACACAGTGTATACTGGAGTACAACACTCAATCGATGTACACAATTTGGGTGAACATGTTAAAAACAACATATTCACACTACTCTGATATTGTTCAAAGTGTGATATGTGCATAAAACTGAACTACAAAGGCATAAAACAGGGGTGGAAATAACTGTAAAATTGCTAATGTACTCCGGTACAGTGTCACATGTAAAATCACTTGCCCTGATAAGTTTTCCACTATACCAGCCGTCTTCTTGTTGATTTTTTAAATAAACAACATAATTAAACATTGGAAAGTCAACTGGACACCGGTACAGTGTGATATACAAATTTGCTTGCCCGACAGAAAAAAACACTAGACTCGGACGTCGGGCAATGGTTATTTCCACCCCTGATAAAAGTGCACGGAGGTACAATATATTGAGTAGATATGACATTAGCAGTCTGATGCACGCAGTAAATTCATATGTGATATATTGAAAACAAAAACAAGAGTACATGATGTACAGATATCATATATGCCTGAATTATGTAATTATAATGCCTGAATATATTTACTGATACATTCTTCCTGTAGATATAATGCCCTTTCTATAAAGATTACAAGCAATTGTAGAAGCCTTACTTCAGCATCACAACAAATTTGTAGCTAGCTACACACTATATATTTCTACAATTGTAGACACAACCAGGTGTCATGTCTTTGTGCTACAACAACTGTGTCAAGTGTTTGTAATCAACAATACAAGTATGGTGGGAGGTGTTTGTGTGTAATCGATGCAACCAGGTGTCAAGTGAGTACAACAATCAACAATACATATGGTGTCAGGTGTTTGTGTGTAATCGATACAACCAGGTGTCATGTCCAGTGTTTATGTGTAGTCAGTACAAAAATGGTGTCAAGTGTTTGTGTGTAATCAATACAACCAGGTGTCAAGTGAGTACAACAATTAATACAACCTGTGTTTATGTGTAGTCAGTACAAAAATGGTGTCAAGTGTTTGTGTGTAATCGATACAACCAGGTGTCAAGTGAGTACAACAATTAATACGACCAGTGTTTATGTGTAGTCAGTACAAAAATGGTGTCAAGTGTTTGTGTGTAATCAATACAACCAGGTGTCAAGTGAGTACAACAATTAATACAACCAGTGTTTATGTGTAGTCAGTACAAAAATGGTGTCAAGTGTTTGTGTGTAATCAATACAATCTTCATCACACAGAATGTGCTAATAAAATAAAGCATATTGTATTGGCACAACAGAGATAGGTTATACTCCACTTTCAGCCAAAAATGCAACATTATGAAAGACATGCACGGTTTGTCAACAGAGGTACTACCCAAAGTCTTTCAGTATACATAAATCAGGGAAACACTGTACTCTCAAGTCACCAAAGTCACAGGATTAATTTAGACTAATTGTACATCCGGAAAACCTGCTGTACAGATATTTATTATCCAAATGGTAAAACATAACCAGTGTCATAAATATAATATGTGCATATATTACTTTTGCCTAGCAACCATTGTTTCTGTGTTTCGTCATCTGTGATGTCATTAAACAATCAAACGTGACGTCAATGAACTGGGCAGTCACACTTGCTTACTAGTGTTGGGAATTGGTTAAAATCTCATAATTGATGATTGGTTCATAACTACCGATCAATCATTGAAAATATTTGGTTAGCATCATTTATGAAATTTCTTAATGCACATAAAAATAAGGTAAAAAACAAGTAGTTCTCTCTGGATGTTTGGGCAAAATTTCACATCTTTAAAGGATGACTAGTATGTTAGGAACATAAATTTCTTGGAATCTTTAAGATAAATTCAATCGTGACTTGAAACAGGCTTGTAGTGCTTACGAAATGTAACCGACAAAACCAACCATTTGAAAAATATTGTTAATGAAAACAAGTATTGGTTCCAGAATTGGTTGTGTTCGATTATGAGAAATTGTGATCGATTGCTTGGTCGTTTAGTCACTACGACCAATCTTCAATTATTTCAATTAAGCGGACCACCACTATTGCTTACCGTGTTTTACTGCACAAATGCACATGAATACAATGGATAATAAAGAAATCATTACACTTGCAAGTGTGCCACATGACTTATACGAAACTCGCGCCAAATTTTGTATTGCCCTCGCTTTAGCTCGGGCAATACAAAATTTCGCACTCGTTTCATATAAGTCGTATGACACACTTGCTCGTGTAATAATCTCTATATATTTTGCCAAACATTTACGTTTAGATTATGGGCTCACTCTTGTTTACTGGCAGGTTATAATTACACTGCCACAGGCTAACTGGCACAAATTGTGATCAGACAGTTTTTGTTTGTATATGAACATGCTTATTCTGAAACCACAGCAGACTGGCCTCAGGCCATTCTCTTCCCACAGAGGTTACTCCTGTCATATCTTCCTACGTAACCTCTGTTCTAAGACGGCCCTTTCATGGTGTGAGCGTTCAAGACTCGTGATTGGAGGCAATCAGATTTAGTTGTGCAATCAGCGACGTTTCAAAAGTGATCATTCGCAAGGCCTCGGTAATTTCCGTATACTTCGAGAAAACTAAACCTCTTCCCCTGCGCGATGCGCAAACGTTTCTGCTAGACAGAACTCAGTCATGTTATGGCGGATCAGTGGCGTTTCCATCGCCCTCGTTGACAACGGACAAGCTAGCCATTAAACGTCTTGTGTGTAACATCAACACAAGTCCCCGGCAGATGGGGGATATTTGTGGCCTCACATTTGCTTGTGTTAGTCAAGTTGAATCTAAGTCGATGTAACACGTTTTCTGATTGGATAGAAATAAGGGAGATAATTCGTGTTGCGATCTTTTTCCGCTAGGGGATTTTACGAGAACCGGGAAATATGGCCGTATTAGAACAGAGGTTCGTAGGAAGATATGACAAGTAACCTCTGTGGGAAGAGAATGGCCTCAGGCAGGCATTTTGATTTGCGTAATAATATAGATGTGTTACTAAAACATTGAAAACTTGAAACTAAATGTCTACACATAAACGGGACCACATAATTAGCTCTCCATTGGGCATCCAGCTTGTGGAACTGTATTGCTCATGTAATTTCCCATTTTAAGATATTACATCAATAAAAGTTGAATTTCATAATTTGGTTTTGTTTTTGTTTTGATTTGACATATTGACATTTTGTTTTGATCATGTTACTTTGGTCATGTGACCGAGTGCAAATAGTTCCGGCACCATGTGATGTTATTACACAATGTTTAACAGCATTGTGATATCGGGTGAGTAAGAACTTTGTTTATCCAAATATGCAGACTTGTTAAAAACAGATCAACACATTTACATAGCCTGTGGAACGAGAACTATCTTCACCACAGGGAACTCTGGGAATGAGAGTGGATAATAGGTAACATTCATAGGTGATTCAGAATCTAGAAATATGGCAATATTGACAATTTACAAGCAACATATAACATGTTATATTTGAGATTACATTTTCTCAGTAAAATACCAATCCTACTACTCTAGGGGTTTTGAATCCCATCCAACATTCAAACTCACACTCGGAGAGAGGCACCAAATCGCAAGCACACAAAGCCAGTACTCCAAACCACTCAGCCAACGGGGCTTAAAAAAACATTTCATCACTTCCAAAAGTGTGTATTTCAAGCCGAATATACAGCCTGAGGTACTGGATGGATGGACGTCTGGGAGGGGCACACAACACTTCCTGTGATGCTACCTTGGATACCGTGGCTGTTGTTGTTGCCATAGCGACTGCATGATGCAGCAGGAGATGAAGAGAATGGCGACCAGCACCAAGACACCCAGGTAAGCATAGAGCTGGATGTATCGGCTAGGAAGCCATAGAACTGTGTACTTCACATGCCCCTCGGGATCTGAAAACAGAAACATTTTCAAATTCAAATAATATGCAAAATAATGCACAAATATTCACTCTTGACAAGACCATTATGCAAAAACATCTGAACATCCGATCCTGAGGTTGTGTCACTGGACCCAGACAAAAGGTGTCAGGATCATGGGATTCCTGTCTTCACATACTGACCTTGTCAACTGTATGAATTGGTTTTGTTATTATGAAATTCAATTTAATGTTTACATAGTCTTCAAAGTGTCCTTTGTTTCATTTACCTGCTAACCATGGAACGCTACTTCTAAACTCCATTTTGTTTTCAAGCAGATGAGAATTATTATTATACCATGCCCCACTCCTGGGTTCTCCCACCTCGCACTCCACTCACCTATAAGTCCCACCCATACCCCACTCACCTATAAGTCCCACCCTGTGTACCCCACCTCACCTACAAGTCCCACCCCATACCCCACTACCTATAAGTCCCACCCTGTACCCCACTCACCTACAAGTCCCACCCCATACCCCATAATTCCACCTATACCCCATGCTGGGTTCTCCCACCCTGCACTCCCACTTCACCTACAAGTCCCACCTCCCATACCCCACTTCCTATAAGTCCCACCCCCATACCCCACTCACCTATAAGTCCACCCCTGTACCCCACTCACATACAAGTCCCACCCCACCCCACTTCACCTATAAGTCCCACCCCTGCACCCCACTCACCTATAAGTCCTACCCTGTACCCCACTCCCTATCCTACCCCGCACTCCCACTCACCTATAAGTCCCACCCTATACCCCATGCTGGGTTCTCCCACCCCATATCCCAGCACTCCACCCACAAGTCCCACCTCTATACTCCCACTCACCTATAAGTCCCACCCTATACTCCTATGCTGGTTCTTCCCACACCATACCCCCACTCACCTATAAGTCCCACCCCATACCCCACTCACCTATAAGTCCCACCTCTATACCCCACTTCTACCTAAAGTCCCACCCTATACCCCATGCAGCTGGGTTCTCCCACCCCATACCCCACTCCCTGCATCTCCACTCACCTATAAGTAAGTCCCACCCTGTACCCCACTCACCTACAAGTCCCACCCTATACCCCACTCACCTTTAAGTCCCACCCTGTACCCCACTCACCTAAAAAGTCCCACCCCATACCCCACTCCCTATAAGTCCCACCCCATGCTGGGTTCTCCCACCCACTCCCACTCACCTGCACTCCCACCCCACTCCCACTCACCTATAAGTCCCACCCCATACCCCCCACCACCTATAAGTCCCACCCCATCCACCTGCCAAGTCCCACTCCATGCCCCACTCAATCTATAAGTCCCACCCTCACCCACTCACCTATAAGGTCCCCATGTCTGGGTTCTCCACCTGGGGTCCACCCCATTCACCTATAAGTCTCCACCTCTGTACCTCACCTCACCTACAAGTCCTCCCACTACCTCTACTCACCTATAAGTCCCACCCTGTACCCCACTCACTCCTCCCACTGCTCCCACCACCATACTGGGTTCTCCCACCCTGCACTCCACTCACCGGTCCCACCCTATACCTCCCACTTCCACCTTCCCACCCTATACCCCACTTCACCTATAAGTCCCACCCTGTCCACCCCCACTGGTCCTACCCCGCACCCCACCTCTATAAGGTACCCCACTCACCTACAAGTCCTACCTGGTCCCCACCTGGGGTTCTCCCACCTCACCTATAAGTCCATCCTGTACCCTACTCACTACAAGTCCTACCTCGTACCCCACTCACCTTATAGTGTCCCACCCGTCCCACCCATATCCCCACTTCACCTACAAGTCCTCCTCTATAAGTTCACTCACCTCCTATGCTGGGTTCTCCCACCATATCTCACCTACAAGTCCCACCCTCCTATACTCTTTTAAGTCCTACCCCACTCACCTATAAGTCCCATGCTGGGTTCCTCCCTATACTCCTGCCACTCTTCACCTATAAGTCCCACCTGTACCCCACTACCTACAAGCTCTAACCCTATACCCTTACTCTGGTCCACCCTGTTTCCACCATACCCCACTACCTATAAGTCCCACCCTTCCCATGCTGCTGGGTCCACTCACCTACAAGTCCCACCCCATACCCCATCCCCTATAAGTCCCACCTGGGTCACCCATATGCCTGGTTCCTCCACCCCCCCTGCACGGTCCCGGTTATCACCTATAAGTCCCACCCTATACCCTCCGGTCCCCACCCCTGCACTTCACCTATAAGTCCCACCCCCATACCCCACTCACCTATAAGTGCCCACCCTGTACCCCCACTCCACCTACAAGTCCCACCTATACCACTCACCCCACTCACCTGGTCCACCTACCCCACTCACCTGTCCATGCTGGGTTCCCCACCCACTTTCCCTACAAGTCCCTATACCCCACTTCAATTTATAAGTCCACCCCATACCCCACTCACCTATAAGTCCCACCTGTACCCCACTTCCCACCCCATACCACTCACCTATAAGTCCCACCTCAGCACTCCACCTATAAGTCCCTGGGTCCACCCTACCCTGCACCCCACTCCACCTATAAGTCCCACCTTATACCCCATGTGCTCCACCTACCTCCTACTCTCCCTATACCTTCCTGCCACCTATAAGTCCTCTCACCCTCATATAAGTCCCACCCTCCCACTGGGTTCTCCCACCTGCAGTCCTACCTCCACCTACAAGTTCACCCCATCCCACTGCTGTCCGGTACCCACCTGCCCTATACCCCATCCTGGGTTCTCCTTGCACCTACTCCCACTCACTATAAGTCCCACCTCCCTCCACGCCCACCCTGTACCCTACTCACCCCCACAAGTCCACCCCATCCTTTCACCTATAAGTCCCACCCTGCACTCACCTGCACTCCCACTCACCCCCATGTCCCACCCCATTACTCACACCTATAAGTCCCACCCCACCCCACTCCCCACTCACCTACCTATAAGTTCCACCCCACTCACCTATAAGTCCACTCCACCTCGCACTCCCACTCACCTACAAGTCCACCCCTGCACCCCACTCACCTGTCCCACTGTCCAAATCGTGTAAAACACCCCCACTGGCGTTGCACCCCACTCACCCATGGAGTGTCGTAAATCATGAAATCCTTTATTAATGCAAAAATGCCTCTGTATTATCTCAAGATAGGATTGATTGATGGGATTATACCTTGTTGCTCATAACATCAATCACTGGATTGTCTGTTTCAGACTCAGGTTTTAAAGGGTGCCATCACAAAGCTGGAATATTGCTGAGTGTGGCGCAGAATAACGAACAAACAAACAAACAAACAAACAAACAGACAGACAGACAGACAGACAGACAAACAAACAATACTGGTCCCAGACTAACCTCATGCCAGTGTCCAGACATCAGCAGATGAGGCTGCACTTCCATGAGGATCTGAAGTCCAAGGATGGGGTTAATCAATCAAAACAGAATAACACTGACACATTGATACATAAAGTCCTTACATCATGGACAGAAACATGTGACAGTTACTGCCGTTCAAACAAGAGAGTTGATACACATTCCGGTAGGGAGAAGATCTGCTAAGACCCTGTTACACTGTTTAAAACTAAGTACATTTATATCTATGTTGAGCGTTATCTCTTCTGTAACTAACAAGCACCACAGTTTGTTGTGCAGATATGTGTCTATTAGGATGGCCTTGAAACTGTGAGCAAAGGATTAAATTCAATAATAGCCCTGATTTTACTGCCAGGTTTGTGAGCACCAAACCAGCGCTTATGGTGAAAATATGGTGAAAGCAGATATGAAGATGACATACCATCATACCATACCAAAGATCCATCCTCGATTATCTCCAGGGTATACCTTCCGACAAATCTCCAGTTGTACCCTGGATGCATCTACAGCTCGGCCCGATAATTGTATTACCTCCCTTTGCTGGCTTTTTATCCAATCAGGTGTCTATGCTGGGAAGTTGAGCGTACCAATCACAAAGCTTCTATCATAACTCACTTTCGCTTCTTTTATCTAACCGATTAAACTTGGCTAAAAAAATTGTTGCAGAGGCATCGTGAAAGAGGTAGAAGAAGTTCTTGCATATACATTTTTAAGGTTTCAGACCTGTCCATTTGAAAGATTTTTCCCCTAAATCTGAGTCGCACAGCGAGCAAACCTTCACGGCTGCCATCTTTGTTGACAATGGCAAGCTCCGTTGTAACTGCTTATCTGAATGGCTACTGTGAGAATGCGGGGGCCAGCAAAGGGAGGTAATACAATTATCGGGCCAAGCTGTAGATGCACCCAGGGTACCAGTGGAGATTTATCAGAACGTATACCCTGGAGATAATCAAGGATGACCAAAGACCATACCATCAGCTTGCATAGGATGCTCTTCAGCTTTACTTAATCTAATCTTCATATGAAAATCTAGATGCTACATTCACTCACTGGATGTATGAAAGACTTCAGTTTGGGCAGCATCGTCTCGTGATTGACGATGAGGCGTAGTGGAGCTGTGAAGTGTTTCTTAAGCTTCTCCAAAAGTTTGCGTTGTTCCAGCGGCATGTCACGATTGAATCTCAGGTCCAGCTGGACAGATTTCGTATAAGTTCATTCAGTGAAATGTCTTTTATCACAAGAGCATACAGGCACTATATCACACCAAACTTATCTAAACATGAATAATGCATTTCTCTCAATAATACTAACTATCAGCCCTCAGGGAAGCTACCATATAATGTATTCCAAAATAAATTACGTATTAAGATTACAATATTGAATTAAAAAGTTCAAATGAATTAATGCAACGCTGCATTTTATCAACTCTCACGCCCTCTACCCCGTTGAACATTACTTCAAGCGAACCCCATAAAGTTATGTCCCTTGGAGCACTCTTTACAAATATCCTCCCCACAACTTGTGACTGAAACCAGTTCGGCAAACACCAACAACACCGTGTGCAACAGTTTTCGATGTACAGAGCAATCGTTTACATTCCATGTATGGCAAGTGTTCCCTGTTTGGAAGCTGTTTGCCTTGAATTTCCAATTATCGATTTCAGGCAGACCGTAAGGGATAATAAGTCGTATATGCCCCAATATATATAATATAGGCCAAAATATTGGCAAAATGTGTGACATTGTGCCTTTAACTTCTCATATTTCTTCATAATTGACAATACAACACCAGTTCTGTGTAGACTAGAGGTTCCTCCATCACTGATGAATACATATAACCAGTTGACATTGAATGCAAACATATGCAGTACTGATGACTAATAACTCCTTACTTAGGACTGACTGAGTATGGTTTTCCGCTGTTTTTAGCAATATTCCAGCAATATCACGGCGGGGAACACCAGAAATGGGCTTCACAAATTGTACCCATGTGGGGAATCGAACCCGGGTCTTCGGCATGACGAGCGAACGCTTTAACCACTAGGCTACCCCACCGCCCCTCCTTACTTAGGAGATAATTAGGAGTTTTTCAGGATTAAAACTGACTGACTGAGTTTTGTTTTACGCCGCTTTTAACAATATTCCAGCAATATCACGGCAGGGGACACCAGAAATGGGCTTCAGAAATGGGCTTCACACTTTGTACCCATTACTTAGGAGATAATTAGGAGTTTTTCAGGATTAAAACTGACTGACTGAGTTTTGTTTTACGCCGCTTTTAACAATATTCCAGCAACATCACGGCAGGGGACACCAGAAATGGGCTTCACACTTTGTACCCATGTGGGGATTCGAACCCGGGTCTTCACCGTGACGAGCCAACACTTTAACCACTAGGCTACCCCTTCGCCCCCAGGATTAAAAACAATACTCAGAAGTTGACCCATGAAGAACCATCTTAGAATCGGTTTTCAGCAACCCATGCTGGTCATAAGAGGAGATTAACAGGATCAGATGGTCAGGCTTGCTGACTTGGTTGATCCATATCATCATATCTAATGTCCATCTCATGGTGCCAATCATTGGATGATGTGATCCTGACTTGATATCACTGTCATATAGCTCTAATATTGCTGAGTGCACCATTAAATCCACAAACAGAGGAAGTAGCATTAAACTGGTACCAACATCATGTTTGAGGTGTTGTTATGTTAGACAAACATGAATCTAGTTGAAGTGATGATTATAATATTTCATGCAGTGGCCAAGTAGATCAGTGCGAGGTTAATGTCTCACATTCTACAAGTTAGTAAATACAGAAAGCTGTGTGGTAATCTGCATCAAGCTGACCTACCTTGATAAAGTCAATAAATCCCACTCGCTCAATCCCAGTAAGGTTTTCAAAATGGTTTTCAAATCGGGCTATCTTGAACGGACTTCTGAAGTCTCTGCCTTCTCCCCCTATGTCATTGTCCCCTGGCACAAATATCTTCTGTAAACATAAAACAGGAAACAATAAACTTAACCTTGCAACAGTAAATACTACTCAAAACGTCACCTTTATGTGAAGAAATAAGTCGTGAAGACTTAAATATCTGAAGTCTGTCTTCCAGTCTAACTGGTCTCTGAGTGTGTGGAGGACCTACCTTGACGTGTCTAGCTGAGTAGAAGATACTCTCAATTCTGTCCATGTATATCTCGTACTCCGCGGGCGTCGCCCGACTCCCCTCATCCATCAGGTCCCCGAGGAACACTCACGACATCCGGCTGGGCGTAGCTGAACGCCAGGGAGAACGTTCGACTGAGGAAACTGCAGGTACATCCCAGAACACCATGTTAGACATGTAAGATGGATCACACTGCAAGGCAATAAGTGGCATGCACTGGGCAGATTTCCTTTAGACTGAAACCTGTTTGTCAGGAATGTACCATCAATAAAACACATGGTCATGTCCCTTTGAATAAATACATCAATACATTCTCAACATTAAACTTTATCTGCAACAACATGCATCATAATAATGATAAGGATAAGGATATTTATAAAGTGCTAGTTCCACATGACCAAGGGACATGCTCAAAGCCCATCATAGCATATATACATATATACAGAAGACAGACAACAGTAAAGACAGTTAGTGGTAGCGTCAGAAGAGGTATGTTTTTAGTCCAGGTTTAAATACAGATAGCGTTGGTGCACTTGAGGTTCAATGGGAGAGAGTTCCATAAGGAAGCAGCTGCATGAGAGAAGGGATCGGGCACCGAAAAATTTCAGTTTATTTTCTGGTACAGTCAAGAGCAGTTGGTCAGCTGATCAAAGATGTCCAGATGGCAGGGGCAGCGTTTTCAAGAGACTGGTAGACTAAAGAAAGGATCTTAAAGTCAATTCTCTCGCGGATCATCAGCCAGTGCAGTGACTTTAGAGTTGGGGAGATATGAGAATGCAGCTTGGACCTGGTTATGATATGGGCAGCTCTGTCCTGTATCATCTGCAGTCTTGTATACATGGTGAATAAGATTGGACCCAGCACAGACCCTTGAGGGATGCCACAAGCCAGAACTTCACTATGGTACATAGCTTTGTTAATCTGGACCAACTGTTTCCTATCTGTAAGGTATAACGAACACCATTCCAGGACATTGCTGCTCAAGCCATAGTCATATTATAAACGACTCAACAACCATGCATGGTCAGTGGTATCGAACATGGCCGATAGGTCAAGCAGGACTAACATGGCGATGTCTCCAGAATCAACAGCCATTTATGTTATTCAATTCGCAGTTCAGAGCCGTCTCAGTGTTACATTCTATAATAACACTGATACTTGTCTATCAGATTAGACTTTTGAGGATGTTCAAAAAGCTGTGCTTTGACAACTTTTTCCAGAATCTTGGACATGAATGTCAAGTTGGATACTGGGCGGTAGTTACTAAAGATCTGAGCATCAAGAGATGGTTTCTTGGTTAGTGGCTGATAACTGCCTTCTTGAAACATGATGGCACCATTCCTGTAGACAAACTTGCTTCATTTACAACTGTCTTTGAACTGGAACTAAAGAGACTAATCACTTCATCATGCTTGTTAGCATCCATTACCTACAAAATGCCACCTCAGATTATTGGATGTGTTTCTTCCTGTGATAACAAAGATTGTAAACGTCAATTTGGTTCCTGTAAATTCTGTATAAGAAACAGTATCACATGCAGACCATGTCGTATCTTTGAGGTCTTCTACGAGAAATACATACTTAAGTTATTTGCAACAGTATACGTCATCTGCAACAGCATGCATCATCATCTGCTACATCTCACCTGTCCGAGTCCCAGCGTGTCAGTGAGCCTATAGGAAACATAGACTCATCCTGGTACCCTATGATCTGAGGATCTGAGACAAACAAGATCCTCATCTCTTCCTCTGAGTCTCTGAAAAACAAACCCAGAAAGTTCAAATTTCTTCTAATTCTAGATTAAATCTCACCAAACCTCTTCATAAATTACACCAAGGCAATTAAATGAAAATTCAAGAAGAAGACTATTAAACTGAAAAAGTCCTGATTGTAAACAAGTCGAAAACAAGATGAAAGAATATCCTTTACATATCAAGTGACTGAGAGGTTACCACGGTAACTAAGGCATATTTTCAAGTATAAGTTGCCAACACAATAGGAATTGAATATCTAAATCATAAACATTGATACATTTAATGTAACAATACCACTACACTTTTGATAGGAATACATTTCTCCATAATGTACAAAACTTCGTTTCACAATATGTCAAGTTTATATTTAGATAGAATGACGTCATCAGTGATTATCCCTATTATTAGCTGAGTAGTACAGTTCAATAAAACTGCAGCCCTGGTATAGACAAGTAATAAGTTAGTATACTTGTATGGGTGTGGCATGGCTGGCCATCTCCAGCTCTGGATCCGATGCACGAGGAACTCGTTGATGATGACTGTCGTGAGGACGAGGAGGAGGAGGAAGGAGCGGAAGGTCAGATTTCTCAGCCGTGAACACAAGGAGCGACGCATGGTGCCCATGATGCCAGTCTTTCTGAAAGACATTCCCCGTATCAGCTGAACATTGCAAAGTGAAATACTACAGTAGAGTTTAACACCTGTGAAGGTCCGGGTTAGAATTGGTCTTCAGTAACCCATGCTTGTCGTAAGAGGTGACTAACGGGATCAGGTGGTCAGGCTCGCTGACTCAGTTTGTCTCATGTTGTCGTATCCCAGTTGCTCATATGACCGATGCTCATATTGTAAATCACTTGATTGTCTGGTCCAGACTCAATTATTTACAGGCATCCGCCAGCTGGAATATTGCGGCGGTAAACAACAAACAAACAAACCTAAGGGTTGATGTCTGTAGACAATGGTTGTAGTCATGAAAGCAAAATGGTTATAATGATTCTATAACATTAGGCATTCTCACATTTTAAACCATTATGATGATGTCATGCAATTGCTGTTGCAATTGACCAAAACCCAAGAATTCACTGGCAATTCTCAACATGAATCTTAACTGACACAACTATAGGTCAAGGAAGTTCTCTTTTTTCCATTCCCAGCTTTTATCAACAATTCAAATCCATGTTTGTTCAAAGTACATAACTGACTTAGTTGCCTGTCATATCTGTGTTGCACATTGATGGGCAGCCCAAAATGCTGATTTCCTACTTGTTGAGGTTTTTCTACAAGATTACCAAGTGTAGAGATTCATTGCCATTAAAAATGTAACTTCCAATTTATAGATGCTTGTATCTGTGTATCATTACAGTTTGTATGTGCAGCAAAAGTATATTTCCTGAATGTCAAGGATGGAAATCAACAAATTATTTGAATCATGCACAGAATACTGTTATGCATGAGTAACATGTAACAATAAACAATATGGTAAATGAAGTGACACTTATTTATAGGTATCTGGACTTAATAGGAATTGATCTTTCACATAAATATTTGCATAATTTACACAGATACACAGCTTATACAGAATACTGTTATGCATGAGTAACATGTAACAATAAACAATATGGTAAATGAAGTGACACTTATTTATAGGTATCTGGACTTAATAGGAATTGATCTTTCACATAAATATTTACATAATTTACACAGATACACAGCTTATACAGAATACTGTTATGCATGAGTAACATGTAACAATAAACAATATGGTAAATGAAGTGACACTTATTTATAGGTATCTGGACACATGTCAAGCAACAAACAAAATGAATGGGGATTAGTCTGTTCCTGGTTTGGGTCGGGAGGAGGCATAACCTTGGGCATGAAGCAAACAATAGAGTTTGATTAACAGAAAATGCCAGTTAGGCTATTACTGTAGGGTTCTTTACATGTCATAAACAGTGCACAGATTATCTGATACAAGGATACTTTTGAATGCCTGCTGGTGATATTACATCCCATTGTCTATTAAATGAATCCATGTTGATATTTTTCGAAGAAATATATTTTCAATTTGATACACATCTTTTAATACTGCTTTTAACTGGATTTACACTGGGTTTAAAACTCTTTATGTTCAGGAGACAGATTGATTGGTAGCTATGAACAAGATAAAAGCTGAAAGTTGTATTTCAGGTCTGATTTTGTCATAGCAGATGGGGTAGAAGCTGGAACATTGGGATACGTGACAACTACTGATTCTCTGCTTACTGCTTATACCTCGATTTTGTTGGGAAATCACACACCTCACACGTAGCCCTCATTTATCAGCTGGTTCAAGATATAAACAATAACGTAGACTGTATAAATAAACACACTTGAATATGATTATGATCAACTGAAACAAACAGAGCATAGGGCTAACCCTAACCCTACCCTAATCCTAACCTTGAGTACTGCACTTTACCGGGCGCACTTTTTCAGATTAATTAGCGCTGCTGGTTCCCTAACGCTAACCCTAAGGATCGTAAAGGGTGCCTAACCCTAACCCTAAGGATCGTAAATGGTGGCATACCCTTACCCTAAACTCTAACCCTAAGGATCGTAAAGGGTGGCATACCCTTACCCTAAGGATCGTAAAGGGAGCAGCGAGGGCTGCGCCCGGTAAAGTGCATTCTAATATTACTCCATTGTCACATTTAATATTTGCCTATCCTGAATGTGATCGTAACAAAATATGAACGTATTCCATAACTTTAAGGCATAACGGCTCCAAATATTTAGAATATTACGACAGCAAGTAATATTATAGACCACATCTCCTGCTTTATAGTACATATGATATAAAGCATACCAAAACGTGTGTGCTGATGTTTACCGTTATTACAAATGTATGAACAACGATTAACTGCAAGTATAACACGGGGACGACACCGGCGTCAAACACAGCATCGTTCTTGAAAACATCTTTGGCTTTTCATCAAAGGGTGGTAACTCTCGTTAGACGGCCGATTTACTTACCGCTATGAAATACTTCGTAAGAGCTGTTCATATTTTGCAGGCGCGTAGCAAGCCAATTTTTTCGTGTAAGCCCAATAGGTTGCAAAGATTTAAATTTAGATAGTATTGAGGGCTTGCCCAACCTATTTATTAGCAAAAATCATGTGTAAGCCCGGGCTTTTTTTTATAATGGTGGCTACGCCCCTGTTTTGGTAACCACAACCGTAATCACCTGAAGAAGGGGCAAGAAGTAGCCCAGAAACATTGTGATATACAATAAACAAGAAGTTGCCATCCTTATACTCGTCTTATATACATTCTGACAGACACATATGGCAAGCGACATATATGCATACGGCACAATATGGTCTCTGATTAAAAAATTTTTTATTCAAGTTTTACGGTGGAGGTGGTCTCAAAAATGACAAAACGTGTCCAGGTCACAATAACACGAATGCAGTATAAAACTATATGTAAGGTCTGCAACACTTTCTTCATTCATCACGCTGATTCGCCGTGATATTACTGGAATACTGTTCTCACTCACTCACTCACTCACTCACTCACTCACTCCATGCCCCATTAAATTAGGTGTAGGAACATACGGGATGCTGCTTATTTATAACCACCATAAAGTGTTACAAAACCCAGATCTGTTACATCATCATGCACTCTTTAACTGATCGTGTACCAAAACAAACACAGTGTATAACATTGTAATACAGACGTTTGTTTTTTTCTTCTTCATTTTTTCCCTGGTATATCATATGTCATTATAATTATTATCTCTATTCATAGTCATTATTAAATATAATTTGCATCATTTAACACTTTACTAATTGAAATCTCACAATGAAGAGCAGATTAGAGCAACAAATATGTTGGCAGCAGCTGTTCCACATCGTCAGTACTTACAGATGTTGCCAAGTTCCTCCATCACCGGGAATACTAATCTGTGGTGTGGTGTATTCGCGATCTTTAACAAGCAAATTAAGTTACGGGTTGGACCAACAACAAGGAGAACCACAGAGCACTCAGACGACATCGGCAATATTTCTTACACGTCTACTACGTTCTGCACAATATCAGCCAACAGTAAATCTCTTCTTCTTTTTTTTAATTTCCATTTTTTATTCCCACTCTACAACACATAAAATACAGTAATATGCATATACTCTCATATACACACATACATGTATACATATACATACATACATATGCACATACATATATAGATACATGTAGATAGATGTACAAGTTTTATATATATAAAGATGGACATGTTTATCCTTTCTATTGGAAGGTATAGTTTACTTATAGGTATCTTAGTTCACTCAGTCATATACATAGGTAATACAACCATATACTAGCATATGAGATGTACATATTTTCCCCTTCTATTGAAAGGTATATGTTTTAAATCATACAGTAAAGCCAACAGTAAATGATGTTCACAACCAGTTCCTGCTCGGAGTAGGACTCTTTCAAATCACGCAAAGTAATCACAGCATCATTTCCTTAAGTGATTGAAAACGTACATTATTACACCCTATTGTGGCAGTATGCATTCACTGGTGACGAAGGAACATAGTTACATTCAAACAGGTGAAATATTGATGGTTCGCCGAAAGATTCTGCGCCCGAGAGAAGTCAAAGAAGCGGACCATAAATCTACGAGGATTGTTCTTGGATCTGCCCAAACCGAAGATGTTTGTTGTTTTTAGTTTGTACGTAGTTTAATGCCACATACAGTCATATGACGGCGGACTTTAAATAACAGTAGCTTGACCACAGAATGTCGTGATTCGCACCGCGAGCAGTGAGAACGTTTTAATGCTTAACAGAAGATATTACTCATTGACTTACTTGCTTTTGATGACGCGCTGAACACATTCCGATCACATGACAGATAATGGAGTATGAGAAACAAAGAGAGAGAGAGAGAGAGAGAGAGAGAGAGAGTGTGTGTGTGTGTGTGTGTGTGTGTGTGTGTGTGTGTGTGTGTGTGTGTGTGTGTGTGTGTGTGTGTGTGTGTGTGTGTGTGTGTGTGTGTGTGTGTGTTAAAATATCGAATACTGTCATCCATCTGTTTCCTTGGTTTCTTTTTCTAGAATCTTTTCGGAACCGTAAAGTACATGGGTAGTGGTATCTATACTCATGCCATGTAATGGTTGTCACCCCCTTCAATATCTTTAATTGGAGAGGGTGTGGTGGGGGGGAGGTGTGTGTGTGGGGGGGACCCAACCATTATTGGCATGAGTATATATTTGTGTTATCAAGCTTTGGTGATTTATTGTATAATCATTAATTAAGTAATTTCTTTTCCAAAACGATGCATCCGTGCGTGGCACATTCACATCATGAGGTAAGGACACCGTTGTAGACGAGTTCCCTAGACTGTCGTTACTCAGCAACCTACTGGGGTACAGTGTTGCAGGCGAGTGACACTCCTCCACAGTTCATACGACGTCTTATCACCTCCAACACAACCATATCCCTCCCCGAGTCATAACAAAAATATGCAGTCTCTTCCGGTTGTAACCAAAGTATCACAACTACACGGACGGAGTTTCCCGTAATTAAAATGTTTTGAAGCACGCCAACGCAGTTACGGGAAAAGGCTTACACACTATTTATTTAAACAAAAGGAGTATATAGTTTGGTAGGAGTTTTATTCGCCGCTTTCAATATTTTTTTTTAAAAAAACATGGTGGACACTGGAAATGGGATTGAGACAATACAGTGATGTCCACATATTTGAATCAAACCTGGATCTACAGGGGGAATGAGTTTTTAAGCGTTCGCGCATACTAGTGAGTTTAGCTTTTCGGAATTTTTAGCAATAATCCAGCAATATCACGGCGGGGACATCAGAAATGGGCTTCACACATTATACCCATGTGGGGAATCGAACCTGGTGTTCGGTGTGACGAGCGAACGCTTTAACCACAAGGCTACCCCACCGCCCTACGGGCATACTACCTGACTAAGGGAAGTACACTAAACTACGGTTTGTAACGAACTACACCTTGCGGTAGCTTTGATAGTCATAGCCGTAGTTTACTTTAGACCTGGGAAGTGTTCGATGTCAACATAACATGTCGAAATATTTATTGGAAAATCAGAGCCGTAGAAGAAACAATAATATGGATCTCAAGTCTTGGTCACTGAACAACGCTGAGTTGTTGCAGCAAATATATATAGGGGCATTGATGTGGATCAACGAAGGCGATGCAAGCACGTTGAAAGATATTACTACAGCGCGGATAGGCTACGAGCTGCGGAGTCGGTTGAGTGGGGAAAAAGATATTGATGCCTAGCGAAATCATACAATTCTGACCACCTGAAACAACGAAAAAGACCACCCGAGAGCAACCAAAGAAGAACTGACCAGTGAAATAGCCAAACAAATATCAACTTTTTCTAAAAAATCGATAATCTGTGAACGCGAAATAATATGCCGCTGTTGTTGCGTTTTAATGGCAATGTCACTTGAAGAAGGCCCAACGCTCAGATTTTCCTTCCGTTAACTCGGTTATTCTATCGCATGCAACATAATATCTAGATGTCAACTGCACTGATGTTGTGTTCTAAAAAGGTGTTCAGTTGTCTCAACGTGTGCTTCTATACTTTCGATTAGGAGATAACACACGGGATATTAGTTCAATAAATCCAAAACACGTATAATGACATGTATGGACATCATGGACATTCAATAACTTCAATCAATACTGGGCGGTGGAGCAGCCTAATGGTTAGACAAGACCAGGGTTCGAATCCCCATGGACATCATGGAAGCCCATTTCTGGTGTCTTCCGCCGTGATGTTGCTGGAATATTGCTAAAAGCGGCGTAAAACCAAACTCAGTCAGTCAGCCAATCAATATTGACATGTTGTCAAACGGGGAAAAGAAATCATCCTAGTTGATGACATCGTTAAAAAGGACAGTGAATAAGTGATGTGGAGCACCTGTGCACAGTTCACTCTAGTATATGTAAAATACGAGACTGGTGTTTTGATTAACCTGATACCCGTTTTATTCCAACACTGTGGGTGTTCTTGTAGCTGTCCATCATTAGCAATGATGAAAAGTGAATCTGCCGTAAAAGTGTAAATGCAATCTGCTTTTAATATTTAGCATGTACCATGTATATCGGTCCTCTGTTTGTAAATTTCTATGAATATCTTTGTTATTCAGTCAAGAAATTCATTATATTAAAGAAGTTCATTATATAAGTGAAATGTTGCATGTGTAATAAAACATTATTATACATTCGACTATATATACATGTATACACACACACACTTTAGATCACCGAAGTCTCTGGTTTGTGGTGGTACTGGTAGCGCATGTTTGTAGTCTGACTTACTGTATGCTCCAACCGGGTTGCCTGTATCAGAGACCATATAATAGATGTGGTCTCTGCCTATATCGACTGCTTATACCTTTTAAAGGCACCAATTTTGAGTCGATCTGTTGGTATGATTTGTATACTGAAAGGGCGGATGAGCGAGTTCCGTTGCCATCCTGGTTCCCGGGCCTCTCAATAGTTTATATAGAGTCTATAACTAATGAGAGGCCCGGGAACCAGGATGGTTCCGTTACATGTTCCAGTACTTCAGCATTACAATGGCGTGTCGGCGTCACGTTGGAGGAGAGCGTAAAGCGACGCTATACGCACGCCGGAATTAAACCCAATAATTGTACACAAACAAACATAAAAGAGAGAGGTTATGATTCGAACCCACGATCATAACATCCTGAAAGACGAAAAACAATTTGCACAGTAAATTGCGTTGCCTTCGTTTGGGCTGGCCATCCCTTTACCCTCTTTATTGAGTAAATATTGTCCTCTCCTGCTTTGTTAAATGGTCATGACAGTATATTTTCGTATATGACTGTGACTCTTCTATGTGAATATTAATGGCACCAAATCATCAAGGTTGCAGTCATGAGAAGTACTATCCACGGACTTCGATAGCGACATTCTTGAGTAAACAAGATTTGCCAGCTTTCTCTTTCAACAACAATAAGCAACATGACCAAGGCAAATGGAAATTATATTACGGTTCCAGTAATCAGATGACCAACCTTCCACAAAATAATGGCTCTCGTACTTTCTCTGACTAACCTCCACACAATACTGGCTCTAGAGCATCTGGTGACCAACCTTCCACACAATAGTGGCTCTAGTGCATCTGGTGACCAACCTTCCACACAATAGTGGCTCTAGTACATCGGATGACCAACCTTCCACACAATAGTGGCTCTAGTACATCTGATGACCAACCTTCCACACAATAGTGGCTCTAGTACATCTGATGACCAACCTTCCACACAATAGTGGCTCTAGTACATCTGGTGACCAACCTTCCACACAATAGTGGCTCTAGTACATCTGATGACCAACCTTCCACACAATAGTAGCTCTAGTACATCTGGTGACCAACCTTCCACACAATAGTGGCTCTAGTGCATCTGGTGACCAACCTTCCACACAATAGTGGCTCTAGTACATCTGATGACCAACCTTCCACACAATAGTGGCTCTAGTGCATCTGATGACCAACCTTCCACACAATAGTGGCTCTAGTACATCTGGTGACCAACCTTCCACACAATAGTGGCTCTAGTACATCTGATGACCAACCTTCCACACAATAGTGGCTCTAGTGCATCTGGTGACCAACCTTCCACACAATAGTGGCTCTAGTGCATCTGATGACCAACCTTCCACACAATAGTGGCTCTAGTGCATCTGGTGACCAACCTTCCACACAATAGTGGCTCTAGTGCATCTGGTGACCAACCTTCCACACAATAGTGGCTCTAGTACATCGGATGACCAACCTTCCACACAATAGTGGCTCTAGTACATCTGATGACCAACCTTCCACACAATAGTGGCTCTAGTGCATCTGGTGACCAACCTTCCACACAATAGTGGCTCTAGTACATCTGGTGACCAACCTTCCACACAATAGTGGCTCTAGTACATCTGATGACCAACCTTCCACACAATAGTGGCTCTAGTGCATCTGGTGACCAACCTTCCACACAATAGTGGCTCTAGTGCATCTGGTGACCAACCTTCCACACAATAGTGGCTCTAGTACATCTGGTGACCAACCTTCCACACAATAGTGGCTCTAGTGCATCTGGTGACCAACCTTCCACACAATAGTGGCTCTAGTGCATCTGGTGACCAACCTTCCACACAATAGTGGCTCTAGTACATCTGATGACCAACCTTCCACACAATAGTGGCTCTAGTGCATCTGGTGACCAACCTTCCACACAATAGTGGCTCTAGTGCATCTGATGACCAACCTTCCACACAATAGTGGCTCTAGTACATCTGGTGACCAACCTTCCACACAATAGTAGCTCTAGTACATCTGGTGACCAACCTTCCACACAATAGTGGCTCTAGTGCATCTGGTGACCAACCTTCCACACAATAGTGGCTCTAGTACATCTGATGACCAACCTTCCACACAATAGTGGCTCTAGTACATCTGATGACCAACCTTCCACACAATAGTGGCTCTAGTACATCTGATGACCAACCTTCCACACAATAGTGGCTCTAGTGCATCTGGTGACCAACCTTCCACACAATAGTAGCTCTAGTACATCTGGTGACCAACCTTCCACACAATAGTGGCTCTAGTGCATCTGGTGACCAATCCTTCCACACAATAGTAGCTCTAGTACATCTGGTGACCAACCTTCCACACAATAGTGGCTCTAGTACATCTGGTGACCAACCTTCCACACAATAGTGGCTCTAGTGCATCTGGTGACCAACCTTCCACACAATAGTGGCTCTAGTACATCTGGGGACAAACCTTCCACACAGTTAGTAGAATAAATAAATAATAAATTTGTATAACGCCCTTTCCAAGAAAGATTGCTCAAGAGCCCTGATCACTAGTGGGCTTTTGCGAAGTGATGCGTTTTGAGTTTTTGCTGGAAGGAACTGAATGTGGTACAGTTCCTGATGTCCACAGAACTGACCCTGCTTTCTCAAAAGCTCTAACATCTTACGTTTTTGCTGTTTTGGGAAGATCGAGCTGTGTAAGATGAGCTGAACGGAGACATCTTTTGGAGCGTGCAAAGCATAGTGGCTCTAGTACATGTGGTGACCAACCTTCCACACAAAGTGGATCTAGTACATCTGATCACCAAACTTCCACACACACCACCCATACTGCCAAACAATAATGGCTGTAGTTAAGCTGATGACAAAACCTGAACATGTCCGCAAATAATTGGTCATAATTGATTATGTTCACCTGATGGCAGACCTTGAAATTGACACTAGCTCATCTAATGTCCAAGTGATGGGTTAACATTTCATATCACATGCCTTTAGAAGCAGTGAACTAATTTGTCAGGAAAATCAGAACAAAAGATTTGATATATTTCTGTAAACTATTTTATTCATATTGTTTCATGATATAAGCCTGCGATTGATGTCATCAATGGTCATAGTACATGTTTCTGGAATGTCATCCACGAACACAATGGTCATGGAATAAATAGTAGTTTGATACGTTACTGTGTGCATTTCTGTCACAGAAATCATCAGATCCATTTTTTATCTCACCATCCCCAAGAAAGCATATATTTATTCTAGACAACATTCTATAGTAGTCAGTACCTTAGAAACAGCTGGTACGAAACATTTTGCCAAAGAAAACAGCATTTTGTACCATTTTACACTTAAAGCAATATAAGCAAAGCTCTCTGAGAACAAGCAAGCTGGATGTGACATTTCTTAATGCAGAATTACACACATTCCTGGCAACAATCTTTGATACAAAATATACATTCTAATTTAACAAACAATTTGCTGATATGACAAAAAAGAACTTATTAGTATCCTAAGAAACCTATCTATTACAAGAAATGAAATCAAATCTTTCGGTTAGTTAAAGTTTAATTCTTTATCCACCATGACTAATGTCTTGGCATAGCATATTGTGATCCTTTTCATGAAACCTCGAAAAATGAAAATTGAAAAGGATATGTAGGTGGATAAACAATAAACCTTTAACTCCTAGAAATCAAATGCCATCTTAAATTTACTCTTACACTAACCAATGCTCACATCTACTTCAGACATCACATAAACATGAGAATTAGCAAATGGAAGGGTAAATAAATGACAATCATTATCACCAACACAGACATAATTTGGAAGAATTTGAAACAAAGTCTTTGATATCTAGTTTTTCAATGTTTGTTGACAAATACTCTTGCATGACATTCCATAACACACTTTCCTAAAAATCATTACTTTAGGTGCCAAAGTTTCATGATATAAATCCTATAATTATTAATGGATTTAATATGTAAAATGATATGGAAGCATATTAAAACTGACTGATATGAAATTTGGTATACATATTTTGAAAATAAATAAACAAGTCATGCATTAGCCTCAAAAGAATGCTGCCTTAGGGAACAATGATCCAATGTGTCAAGTGATGTCTCAACAGGCTGAAAAAAACATAAGGAAAATATGATATGAGATATTACAAAACTCTTCAACAATGTTACCAGCACTGTTGTATATTTTTCATAAAAATATAAAAAGTGATGAGACAGTGCTGTACACTAGATGCTGACTAGATGTTTAAGTACAACTCTCTGTACATTAACATCTCAGTGTGCGGGGCGATATCACTGTATCACACACGTATCAGATATAGTACTCAGTACCATATACAGCAAAACGGGGGAAAATGGCAGTTGTCTGATGCTGATACGGTGGAAGATATTTGGAGTCCAATGACGCGTGATACGTGTGTTATCCCCCCACGCACTAATAACCCTGCTCCGTACCTCACTGATCATGTCAAGGCATCCTATATTCACAACAGTTGTGTATTTACATCATTGTGTTTAACACACACTAAACAATTCACAAACATCTGTACAATTTACGAAAGCTTGGCATAAAAATTGCCAACATTCTATACAATTAACATTCCTATTGTTCATATCTTTGGTTTAACCAGACAAAGAATTGACAACACTTAATAATAATATCATTTGTTCTCTTCATATCGAGTCCAAACCCCATCATATGAGTGAAGACATATAAAGTAAACATTTATACATCAGCAACAGAAGAAGCTGACATCAAACTCCCAAATCCAAAATGAATATCCCAAAGCCCATTTTACAAATATATAGGGAATTACAAAAGGCAGCTCCGGTACATCACTTGCAACAAGGAGTGCATAGCACATCATCAATAAAAGCGTAGTAGTGCATAGAATCAATGGACAGATTGGACAAGGCATCACTTGGCATCAACGCCACTGGACGAAATAGATTCAGATTCATTAACCCTTTCTCTGTTAAGATACATCATAATGGTAAAAGTATACGATGATGGATGATGTCATAATAATTTTTCTCCCTGAGAAAATTAAAAATTTTGATGTACGTTCATAAATACTGTTTACCTTGCCCTACAATGCCAAAAAATTACCATTGGCACAAAATGTATAAAAGGGACGTTTCAATGTTTATATTCTACCCATGGAAGAAAGGGTTAAAGAAATGCTCTGCCTGAGGGATATGATTAAATATACATTGGACAGATTATTGACTGTTGGGCATCATACGGCTCATATAGAACTGGCAGTTAACACAGAACTGGCTGCCAACCACAACACATCTCTTGCTGCACAAGTGACATAACTGGTCTCCAGGCACCCCTGCAGGAGGGCTCTCGTCACTGTTAGAACTGTCCATGTCTTCTACCTCCGAGTCTGCATACCCTGGTTTGTGGCTATATCTATCTTCATCGTCACTATAATATGCCCTATCATCAACACGTAACCTTGGCGATGATGTCTCAGCAGCAGACTCATAACCAAGGTTGGAGTTTTCAATATTTGCCACTCGTGCAATGTCTTCACAAAAAGTCACAGATTTTCTTGGCCAATTGTTCTTTGCCTTCTTGTTCTTCAACACAGACTTGGGTTTTTTGACAGATGAGTTTGACTCTGATTTACTTCTCTGTCGCTGGGCAATGTACCCTGCATCAGAGTTCTGTTTGCGGACAGGATGTCTGCGGGTCTGAGGCTCGACAGTCACAGTTTCAAAGCGGGATGCTAAAGCACGGACACTGACGTTGGGTTTTACGTCATCCAACTCGCTCGAGTTATCACTACCACAATAGGAAGTATCGTTAATCAACAGCTGGTTACTTCGCAAGTCGGGCTGGCTCTGAAATACAACATGGGACAAGGTTAACACCAACACAGATGGGTCTCTAAAATGTCTGATCATTAGTGGGTCGTTAATACTTTCGGAGGAACTGGAATTGCAAGGGAGGTCAAGGACAACATTCAAGCACTGCTAGCTGTTAAAGCAAAGAAATTGTCATCTAAAATGTTATTAGAAAGGCAGCAACATGATTCTACATTATGTATGTCAACTCACAAGTTGTAAATAATTTATACACCATATTCACCAACAAAACAACCATCATGATTCATAAGGTGATTTGCATGCAAAGATGTCTCATTCACTCAATTAAAAAGTACCTTTTCTCTTCAAGAAAAAATATTCACCAATAAAAGGAGAAACAATAATTACTATAATAATTCACATGGACAAATGGGAACCCAAGCAGCAACAAAATAGGTTATTCCAGCTTGCACACATTTGTGAAAATGTGCTGGAAAGATTGTGAGGAAAAGAGAGGTCCCTTCACTCACAGCTCGATGGTCAGAAACTTGTGACGAATGTAAGTGCTTACTACAGTGGTTAGTGGCTACAGAAGATTAGTTTACATACAACTGGTGGAAAAGTCAGTGAGAAAAGCATGATGGAAGTGTGCACTGGATGATACCACAGCAACATTCAGACAATCTGTTATTAGTATGAAGAAAGGATTTTGATGATGATATTCAAAACTGTTTTCAGTTTTTAAAATAATAATAATAACAGAACTGCCATTAATCACAGTCATAGGTCAAGTACTAAAATGTGTATAGCATCTAAAATATTAAATGTTTACAAAAACTCAGGTACAAAATAATGAAATGATAATTTTTAAGAATTTGATTCCTTGACAAAAAGACATGCAACTTTTCATGCTATTCAAAAGACATCAAAAATGGAAAACTACAGACTACAATCAAAATAAAATACAAACATGCATTTCTAGTGTGTACCTCTACTCTAACATTCAACAAACCACTGACAATAAAATAAAAATATATCAGAGCCAAATCAAACAAGGGCTGAAATCAGGCCAAAGAAATCGAAAATCTGACGCCATGCATAACACACAAGACAACATGCAAAACCAAGGGAGATAACCAGTGACCCATCTATCAGGACACAATACTTACTGCCGAATTTTGGCGCATTGTGGAGAGCTGTCCCGGCCATGAGGAGGGAGGATGGAGATCCCCCCGCCCACGGCGGGAATTACTGGGACCACGCCCACCTGGAGAAGCAAGCACAGTAACACTTGAATAGTGGGAACCACACTCGAGCAGTAAAAGACGCTCACTCAGACAATACTGCTGCCTCTCTATTGCGAAGAGTCACTGAACAGACAGAAGACAATCAGCCTAAGCTTCGTACTCCGAGGTTAATGCCAAGATAAGAAAGTATTAGCTTGGAAAGTCTGTATCACCGCTTTCAGAAAGTGTTAATATGGTTAGAAGTCATTAACTATTGTAAAAGCATCTTCAATTTTCCAGTGAATTATACCTCCATTCTCGTACAAAAAGAGCCCAGTTGTTCTTCAGAATGGAGATAAAATGCCCTGGATGAAAGAGGATGATGTGGAAAGTTCTAGTATTACTAATGTTGGAATGGACAAGACAGGACAAAACAAACTAGGATTAATCTGAAGACACTGTTATTACAATCCTTATACATATTGATAATTCAAAACCTAGCAAGCACATTGCCTTAAGACAAAATCATGTGGTTTCATGTATGGGGTTTAATGACACTGATGAATCATGTTTCCATTAGGGATATGAAAATTGTGTTCCAATTTGGGATATTACAATTGTGTTCCAATAAGTTTGTGTTGGAACACATTTTCCTTGGTTGTAAAAGACTTGGGACGACTTTTTTTAAAAACTGGGGCAATGTGCTTGCTGTGAGACATGCATTGTGGGTCAGTTAGTAAAGTACCTGGGTTACTAGCGAGCGAGGAATCTACAAGTTTCTGACAGTCAGGCTGTGAGGCGCTTCGTTCAAGCGGCCGTCCCTGATGCTGCGGCACATTCAGGTATTGGCTGCCATACGATGATGTTGGTTTGGGTGGCAATCCATTGGATGGACCTCTCGAGGTACTCATTGATACATTCTTTTGAGGGACAGTTGGTTTGTTGCCTGCTTGCTGGGACCCTGGTCCAGACTGCCTCAAGACAGTGTACTGTCCGGACCGGTCAGCCGGCCTCAGATGTGCAGGACACATAGGTCGCTGACTTCTACCAACCTCTGTAGACTGGCTTGTCACTGGCTTGTTCCTCACTTCCTGGGTAGTATGAGGAGCTGCTGGTGTGATGCTGGTTGTTGCTGCTGTTGCTGTTGGTGTAGCTGTTGTTGATGTGGATAGCTTGGTGTTCCATTAACAGGCTGTGAAGATGAACTTTCTCGATGAGAATTTGAAAATCTCTGGTTGATCTGTTCTTGTTGTCTTCTCATGTACTTCCTCTCCAGAAGATCTCTGATCTCTGACTGGCTTAGTTTGCTAGATCGACCTGTGGAGCTACCCGAATCAGATTCCCGCCCATCCATAGAATTTGGTGTACTGGAACCAGAGGATGTCCGCATGTGGTCAACACTAATATTTGAATTTAAAGATTTCTGCTTATTGAGATACGACTGGTACACATCTGCGTCTTTGGGTTTAGGATCAACAGGCTTCTTGTTCTTCCTCCGGGGAAGGGTCGCATAAATGTCTATGTTTTCTTGAGATCCAGAAAATTGACTTGAAGCATGAGAGGAAGCTGACTTTGCGGAGAGATTACTGTCTGTGTGAGAATGAACCATGGTATGGTTATGGGTGAACTGATCCGAGTTGGACCGAGTCACTGGATGATGAGAATACACATCTTCCCGAAGCTCCTTCTGCGGGACGTCTACATGCGTGGAGGAGCTCTGCCGGTGATGTTGAGAGGAACTGCTACCCTGTCTATCGTGGTGAGACAACCCACTATCAGTTCGTAAGTGAGCCTTATTAGGATGAGACTGAGATGAGGAACTAGGGTTCAGAGAGCCTGGAGCACACTTCTGTAGTCTGTCTCTGGAACTGCTACTCCTGACTGAACTGCCATCTTGACTCGACGTGTCCGAATCACTGCTGTTCATGGCCACCCTGAAGCACAATACAAGGTATATAAAAATCAACTGCATTTGACTCATCACTATGTGAGTGAGTGAGTATGGTTTTGCACCGCTTTTAACAATATTCCAGCAATATCATGGCAGGGGACAGAGAAATGGGCTTCACACAGTGTACCCATGTGGGATTCTTCAAAGGCATTTAGAAGTTGGTGAAGTAATACAAGACAAATCTTATGGATAACAACTTCTTGGTTTATTTTTCACAACGTTTCTGGGCTAGTTCTTGCCCCTTCTTCAGGTGAATGCTGAAGAAGGGGCAAGAACTAGACCAGAAACGTTATGAAAAATAAACCAAGAAGTTGTCATCCATAAGATTTGTCTTGTATTACCCATGTGGGGAAATCGAACCCGGGCCTTCGGCATGACAAGCCAACACTTTTTACCACTAGACTACCCCTCCGCCCCTCATCATTATGTAATATTACAAAGAAGGAAAATTTGTCTTCTTTATTACTGTGTTTCATTTGTACCAAATACTGGTTTTGTTTCATGCTTATTGAGCAATATGCACCAGCCATCATGCTGGAGAATACTAAAAATGTACTCATGTGATGAGTCAAGTTGGTCTTTGGACAACACTTAAACCACAGTGTTATCCCAGCTATATTCTTGAGTACCTGGAGTGTTTGAAAAGTTTGACCAAGGGAACTAACTCCCACATACCTGCTGTTGCATTGCGAGTCACCAGACCTGTCCTGCATGGCCCTTGAGTTAATGCGGAGTGCCAGACTCCGGGCCTTCAGAAGACACGCGTTATGCTTCCTTTGTGCGTAGACTAGTGACTGGTGGGTGATATTTTTCTGATTCATCGCTTCACGGAGGCAACCTTTAAAAAGTAGACACAAATTATATAACCTTTCCCTAAGATTCTATGACCGTTTACAGGTTACATTTCTATAAAACAACAAATAGATACATAAATGTGTCCATTATACATGAAAGGATCTTCATATTCTCAAAAGAGGAGGTTCATTGACTCTGAAGTGAAATATATAGTTAACATCAAGTTACTTTCATTATGAATACTGCCATGACAAACAGAACTAAAAATAACTATAATTTATCAACCAGCTGTTGTTATAATAAACATTATTACAAAAGCATATCAAGCGTGTTAATCGTGTGTATGCATAGAGCGGGAAGCTGCTCACCAGAGGCGCTGTCACAGAAGCGTTGAGCTTCCTCCAGTTTCCCATCAGTCTCAGACAGGATGCACTGATCCATCAGATCATCTGACTTGTGGCACAACATCAGGAAGTGGTCACTGCACACAGCGGCTGGAATATACAGGTTAGGTTAAACAGAGGGCTACCAGCAATATGTATAGCAATATATAACTTGGAAGTACATATTGTGAACCTACATTGAATCATGGAATGGAAATTATAGCAGTAAACAGTTTTGTGTTGTATTTCATCATTGGGTCTAAATACATGAACCCGGAACAGAAGCTCTGGAATTATAAGCTAAATGAGTCATAATCAGGCTTTAAGGCAGACATAACTATTATTATCATTTTTATTATCAATACTTATATTATTGAAAGGGATTTGTCACTTTAAGTGATGTCTTCAACACTCACCTTCCCTCTGCATAGTGGTCGGTAGGGGTTCAGGAGGCGAAGGAGCTGGGCTGGGGGATGATGATGCTGGCTGCCCAGGACGTCGCACCTCAACCACAGTTTTGGTAGCTTCCTGGAAAGGAGCAGGCGATGACCTAAGCGTGTCCTCAAAACTCCTCTCCTTGATGGGATGCAGAACCTGCCGGCCATGCAGCTGATCATGGTGCTTCTGATGATGTTGGTCACTTCCCATTTGTCCATTCATTGTTGGAGGACCCTGCTTGCTAACTTCGGACATAGGGTTATCATGATGACTGTCTGGACTCGGACTAGACTTCAAGCTGTGGGAGCGATCATAGGCTGGGTGATGGTTATTGATGGAATTCGGAACTATCATGCCTCTAGAAAGGAAGTACACGGAGTAAGGATTAACAGTTTCACTTCCGGTTGAGCTGGAACTGTTCCTATCACTGCTGCCATAACCAGAATCTTTGTACGATCCTATGGAAACATTGTCATATGGAATCTCCACACTCAAGGCCTTTTTCCCCTCACCATTCCGACCTGCTAGAAGTCTGCCGATCATACTGTCCGACTCAATGCTGCTGCCACTGGTGTAACTAGCATTACTGACAGAAGAGCCCTGTCTCTGGACACCTTGATGCTTAAGGATGTTCTCAACCATACTTCGCTCAATATACATGATTGGATCATCCACAAAATCTCCATCTTTGTTCTTCTTGTTCTTTCTCTTCTCGCCATTTTTGGCAGACTTCTTAACCTTACTTTTCTTACCATCTGTTGTCTTGCTGGATGAGCCCTGCTTGTCATGGTTGGGAACTGGGGGAACAGGTCGCTGAGGTTGCCCCGGAGGAGGAGGTGCAGCTCTTCGACAAGGTGGTCCACCGTCTACACAATCTCCTTGCTGACCCTCCTGCCTCATGTTGGCTGAGTTAGGTATAACAGGCATCGACACAGGAATAGGCACTGCCTTTTTGTTCAGTGGCTTATTAACTTGGTCTTTGATGTGAATGTTCCCCATTGAGTTCTGTCTGTTAAGGACATTGATTTCTGATTCTGATCGATATTGTTCTGCTGTCACTAGCTTCTTCTTTCTGGGCAGTGTTGCAAGACCAGACTGGACTGGGCTGTGCGACATGTTTTCAATGTTCTCATAGGTATGTGACGATGGTTTTGGACGTACTACACGGTGCTGGTTCGGGCTGACAATGTCAGAATTAATGCTGACTGAATCTTCCCCACTTGATATGGTGTTTGGATGGGCCCTGGGATATTCCAGTGAAGTGGGCTGACTGGTTGGAGAGACTTGATACCTTACAACATCACTGCGGACTCTCTCCTTTCCCTTCTTGAAGCTATCCTTCCTTAAGGCTTCATTCCCTCTCGCCATGGCCTGTGTGACAGGTAAGTTGGTGGGATCGAAGTTGAGAGATGGTCGTCTGAATGGGTCCTTTGTGGACAGAGTGTAGTTGCCATCACCATCCTCCTCAAGAGTTTGAAGGTTTCCGGAGGACTGTCCACCATACAGAATATCCCTCTCTGGATGGTAGCTGCCATTTACCATGGGCTGAGCATTGTTGGTTGTAGGTTTTCCCGACATGGCATACAAAAAACTTGGTTGGCGTTTATGTTCAGCTTGAATCTGCTTGCCAGACGGTCGGGATGCATCATTTTGCCAATTCTCTGGTCCAGGAGTCACAGCCCGTCTGCCTGTATCAGTGTTTGCATGTTGGTCGGGATTTGGTGTCCTTGACCTTCTTGCTGGCATACTCTTAATGCTTTCATGTGTCCTGTCCAAACCGCTGTCACTATCGTCATATGCAGCTGTGGAATATAAGGGAAATTGTCATAAATGAATAATCAAAATCCATAACATGAACTTTCCTATCATCATGACCATGAAAATATTTGTCTCACATGTTATCATGCCAGGTAATCTGGCTTAGGTTGCTGAGAACCTATACTAACCTGGAATCCTACTGGGGTTATTAGATTAATCGGCTCTTACAGTCAAACAGATGATGTGTTGAAACCCCTATCCTCTAAGGGGCACTGGTTATGTATTCCACAAAGAATTCTACAAAGTGTTTCAGTAATAAACACAGGTAGTACATACATGCAGGGAAAGAGTATCCTTCGGCCATGGTTCTCTTCTTCATAGCGGTCTCCACGGGAACAGGAGTGGCAGCAGGGTTGGCATACAGCAGCAACAACGGCTGGTAGCGTCCTCGCATGCACTTGTCTACAACATGGCTCCAGTTGGGACCAATCTGGCAACAGAAAACGACCGTGTTTAGCGTATCACTACACCTGGTATTACAAACAAAGCATGCTTCATTAGTTAGTAATATATTTTCAATGAATAATCACGATGTGGTGATAATGGATTTGTACCATACCTCTTTGACTGTTGCATCATCAAAGTAGATCCACACTTTCAGCTTGCTGTGGAATACGAAGGTGGAGTAATGTTTGCCGTAGTAACACACCACACCAACCAGATGCAGCTTGGGAAGGGAAGTCATGTCCAGTAGCACAGAATGGAACACCTGCCCACAGAAACAGTGTCATGTTAAAAATAGATAAATAAATAAGCAGAAAAACCCACAATACACAAAAATTGGAATTGTCATGATACAGAAAGGTTGAATATAACAATCCACTTACATCCTGCAACATAATTGTTGTTCCAATGTTTCGGGCTACCTCAGTTGTCATCTCGATGCTTGGATGGTCGGAGTCCCAAACTAGTCCAACACTCACTGAAATTGTATGAACATAGTTGCAATAACTCAGTATAAACAAAAGATATAGTCCCTGAAAGATATTACAAACAATAATCATTTAGTTTCCATTACAGAGTACTCACAGAGGTTACTCACACAGGTTACTCACACAGGGTACTCAATGTCTGCTGCTGAGTATGAATTGATGACTGACTGACTGAGTTTAGTTTTATGCCGCTTTTAGCAAACATCACCTCGGGAGACACCAGGAATGGGCTTTACACATTGTACCCATGTGGGGATTCGAACCCAGGTCTTCGGCGTGACAAGGCAAACGCTTTAACCATTAGGCTACCCCACCGCCCCTATGAATTGATGAATAACATGAGCAAGTTTCGGACAATGGCATATTCAGCCAGATACGGATATTTCAGCCAGAACTCACCGACATCAGGGCAGCTCTTTAATGTTCTTCGAATCTGGACACTTTTCCCACAGTTACCCTGTAAAATTAAAACAATCATCAAAGCTATGCTTTTAAAAGTTATTTTGTTAATTGTACCATCATGATGTTACATTTAAACTTATTAAAAATGTTAGTTTGCTTTAATTTATACTTACAGGACATGCACGAATGTCGCCCATGGCAACAGCACTTCTCAGTAGAAGACCGAACCTGTCTGGGTGGAGAATATCACCACTCTTCTGCATGACGCGGGCCTGGGACCTGTAGCCACAAATAAACATGATTACTGAGGAGGAGATTCATCTTACACAACGACCAATTCTTCCACGTACTTATGATATTTAAATGGGAAAGATGAGATAAAATCAAAGCTTAAAGAAAACATGATCTTTCAAAGATCTAAAATTCTTATCTTAATGACATCAATGATGGAGACTGACATAGGTGTATTATTGACACAGGTAATCAGAGTTCACATGAAGTATGTACCAAGGTACAACTGTGGTACTTACACAAGATTATTGGCAGTCACATAGTGCACCATCTCCTGGAAGTTGTGGGGCTTGGAACTTGCTCCACATGGACACACGATCTGTTAATGGCAACATCAAAGTGTTAAGACAGGCTGTTCACAGTGGGCACAAACACCTCTTCACCATTCAGGATGACAAAGGTAAATACAAATACGGCGAGGCCTAGTATGTTTTATCTCAATTGTTTGTGACAAATTGATTATCTGCAGAAAAGGAGACATTTCTTCAAAATCCATTGCCATGTGTAATGAGCTAGTTTTTATGCCTTTTTCTTACAAAGCTGTAGTAAATTATTTCTTTGTGGTGAACACTGGTTTTGTCTGCATTCATCAGAATAAGCTATTAAATTTTCAAAGTTTTTTAGTCCAGTGAAATCCGCTGAACCAATTCTCAATTGGAACCAAACTTGAATCTTCTGCACAGAATGAGTGTGTACTATTTCCCTATGCCACCATCCCTACATCCAAATATTTTCTCACACAAAAGCAAACAAAAATAACCGCTGACCTGTTCCAGCTAATTAAACAGGTAAAGTTTCCTATTAGTATTACATTTCCTTATAAATGTCCTAAGGGTATGTGCTTTGCAAAAATAATTTGCACCTAATCAATAATCCAAATAAAGGCCAAATGAATGATCAAGCTAACGTCATATTAATCGTGTATTCATACATTGATGGAACTGAAAAATACCAACAAAACAGAAGGACAAACAACCGTCAATATAACTCGGTGAATGTCTTGTGGCAAGCTGTTGCAGGGCTGTTCTGTTGATTGATACATCTGTGTATGTAATATGAAATCAATTTAGGTCAATCGATATTAATTACACAGGAGAAACCACTGCAGCATTGAGCATTATCGGCTGTACCCAATAGCCTCGGGATATTCTAACTGTCAACTTTATTGACGGCAAGCTGATCAATGGGGACAGCCTACGGGGACATCTGGTGAGAAATATTGGAAACTGACAAGTAAGTCTCCCCTGACTTGACAGCTCCAGACTGGAGGTATACACTATTACACAGTTTACCTCCCTCGCAACACAACCTAAGAGGTCATTGAACAATGACTAACTTAAAATCAATTCAAAATGTGTGAAAGTGGGTTTTCTCTCCTTGTTGTGTAATGATCAATACAGGAAATTTTGTAACATGATATGACTCAACTCATGTGAATTTGTTCATTGTAGGAGAATATAAGAGGCAATCATTGAAAAAGTATATGAACAGCAGTGTTTTTTTGTAAAAGTAAGTTTGATAGGGATTGGGTCCTTGCTACAGCCTTGTTGGTAAAAATGAAAGCCCTGGATCAAAACACTGTAGGAGTACATCAAAGACTTCATTTTGGAAAAGGGATAGGGTGGATCCAAAGGTTATTGGAAGATGGCGCCACTCACCTGGTCGCAGACCGACATGGCAAACTTCTGGTGTGGTAGACAGTGGGGTGCCGTGCAGTCATCCTCACTGTGGTCGTTGGCGATGTGGAGGTGGATTCGGCGTAGGATGTTCTCCTGCAGAATATATAAACACACCTTAGTCATCCTGTGGAATAACAGTCCATGATGCTGGAGATCCACAACAGACTCGGGATTAACTGAGGAAACACAGTCCATGGTGCTAAACATTAACATCCATTACAGACACAGGGTTAACTGAGGCTACAAAAAAAAAAAATAATGAAAAGGAGCCCTGAAACTGCTTGTTACATGTTCACAGTTACAGTAGGGGCGGATATATTAGCCTAGTGGTTAAAGCGTTCGCTCGTCACACCGATGACCCGGGTTCGATTCCCCACATGGGTACAATGTGTGAAGCCCATTTCCGGTGTCCCCCGCCGTGATATTGCTGGAATATTGCTAAAAGCGGCATAAAACCATACTCACTCACTCACTCAAGTTACAGTAGCTGGAGACACAAATTGTTGCCTTATCTTGTGAGACCTTATTGGGCAATGACAAACTTCACTCATTTCAGTGAAAGAACATACACAAAACCCACAATGTAATGATGCCATAAATAATAATGCTTTCATTGTATGTGCCTGATTGTTATTCTAAAGCCAATACTCTGTCCCCGATGGGAGTTTTGCACAAGAATTTCTCTTCTTGTATTTATCATATTAATGACTTATTTTACACAAATCATCAAACAGAGAATTCATTGTGATTGATTTATGTTGTAAAGAAATTAATCTTGAACATGTTGCAGAATCGTTATTTGTCATCAGATGCTGATGACAAGATGTTTACATTTCCCATCTAATAATTCAAAAGTTTCAGAACATCCCACAGTGAAACAGTGACATTGTATCTCTGAATCCCCCTCATTGAAGCCTAAGGTCTGATCAAATATTCCCACAATTCTCAACAACAATGCATATGATTTTTGTGTGTAGTGGTTATGGCACAAAAATACTGAGTAAATACCTGTCCTAATATTGATCCGTTTACCTCAGGCAAAGCCTGTAAAAGGCAAATGGTTTGGGTTAGAGGTGTAGTGGTTGAGTGTCGTGACGTTTAGCTTTCACAGGGACAAACTGACCGTGACAAAGGCCGTATTTACCACGCCAGCCTCTCCTGGCCGGTGGAATGTGTATGATAAATACACCTGAACGTTCCATGCCACATGACTCAATGTACAAGTGTGGTGATGTTGTGAAGAACAGGGTGCAGTCTGCAAATCTGTGTTTGGGTAAACACTGAGGTTAACTTGCACTCGCAGAAAAGCAGTACATTTCTCTACCGAATATTTCTGTGTCAGTGTTTTGATGTTGTTGTGATTACATTCCATTGGGATTGTTATGCAAATTGGTCAGTGAAAGCCGAGCAGCACTTAAAGGCCACTGAACGAAGTGTACTTGCCTATCTTTTGTTAAGGGTCAAATAGGGAGTACTGTTATGTATCAAGCAAGATTGTGTGTGAATGTGTGTGGCAGAGTGTTATCAACTGTGTGTGGCAGTGAGTCTCCGCTAACACCCTACGTCAGTAAATAACCAATGTTTATTGTCAGTACACGTGCATGTAGACACATGTGTAGGTGCAGTTGTTAGGCTTCAGTGTCTCTTCTGCCTACTGTGGGCTTTTATGAGCAGTACAGGTCTTCCCGTGTTCTCTTTCATGTATATACTATTTCACACTTAAAAAACAACCTTCTTTCTTTTGTTTATTGTATACATCTGGCCAATGGCAGAGCTCCTTTGGTGGTGGATACATTGTGCATTCTGTGCTGGTAATGAACACAGTAAAACTACACAGAACAACAGTAACTGAATACACATGCACATCTGAATTCCAGAAAGTGAATACAATGAATCTTTGTTGGGGTTTTTAAGGAAACAATTCTCTTTCTTCTGGTTTGCAACTTTAAACTTAATGCTACCTTAATGCTACCTCACACTTGCACAACAGCAAATGATTAATTCAAGGCAAAATACTAATTAGTTTTATTGGGATCTTGCATGATCACAATGCTCTTCTTTTCTTATTCTAAATTGGCACAAAAATGAACTTTAAATGGAATAAATAATTTGAAAAATACCTGACGGAACAGCCAAGTGTTTCCTATATGCCCCCTGGGTTAAATCAATATTGATGCATTTTAGCTGACTTCCTAGTACCAAAGAACCTAATCATTATCTCAACAGGTGCCCCTTCGTTATAAGACTACATTACCCACCATTATTCATTATACAGCAGCCTGGCACGCAACTAGATGCTAAATTAACTTTTTCATCGCTTAAATACTGTACTCAGTTGCACACAAAAAATATAAGGAGCATCCACAAAGTATTGGAAATTAAAAATAAATATACACTGTTACTATCAGTATTATCACTTTGCCATCTTCACTATGAATCCTTAATGACATCAGCTGCTTTTCCTACACTCTTCCTGGTATTCAACAGTAGGCATGATGATGATATGGGTTGTTGTGTCTTCTGTAGTTTTCAAACACCAAACCACTTGGCAACTTTCTTGTAAGATGATGAATATAATCATTAAATGCTCTACATGTTTAAAGCATCAATATATTGATTGTAAACGGAAATTAAAAATGTATAACGAAAGAATTTGTAATATTTGTCTTCTAAAACATAATATACTACAGTACTCAAAAGAATCCAAGACACATTAACTAAAGTAATAAGAATGAACTGGTAGTTCCATAATTTCTCTTGAGTAGTGTAGACAGTTTCAAAAAAAATTTGACATTTTCATACAGGTTTGCCAAATAACCATATGCTTTTAGGTATTCTTGTTTGAGAGCCTGCATGACGTGAATACCTGATGATGAAATTGGGCTAATTTCATGACCCACGTCTCCTGTTTAATGTCAGGTGAGACAAGAACAGTAAACTGGGTCAACATGTTACGGACACTTGTAGCCGTCATGTCACCGTTTAAGCTGTCATTCAACTGGCAAGCTAGCGATTATTTTGACAAGTTCTACTTACAAAGCACTCTGCAGCATCGTCCATGTGACCCAACTGAAAGCGCTGCTGGTTGGCGAACGTTTCCGCCAAAGCTTTGCGGAGCGCATCCGGGTGGAGTGATGTCTGATCACTGTACTGAAGCTGTGTGAATATTACCTGGAAATGATTAGAAATAAAAGCATTAAACAATTTATACATTTAAAACCCCCAGTGACTTGACTCCAATGTACTCAGACAAAAATGACTGATGACATGGTCTTCAGGGCAGATGTCAACATTTGCTTATTTTGTTAGGTGTGATCTAGTTTTATTGGACATAAAATTCAAAAACAAAAATGAAGATAATCGATTTTTGAGGATTGATCATTTGATCATGATTGATCATGACTGCCAGCTGTATCTTGTAACATACTGCAATATGCTTTTCACATGATACGTTTTGCAACATACTTTTTTGGAAGAACTGGTATATTGGGTAAAAAATATATAAGCGGTTTTGTGAATATCTCTATGGTTTAGAGTAAAATCTTTCCTTCACAACTGATGTTTCTCTTTGTAAGTGACAAAATAGCCTACTTCACATAATACAAATTGTACAAAAAAAACATAAAAAATTGGGATAGTCTAGTGGTTAAAGCATTAATTTGTCATGCTAAAGACCCAGGTCCGATTCCCCACATGGGTACAGTGTGTGACCCCCATTTCTGGTGTCCCTCTGCCACTCACTCACTCATGCTAATCTCCAACTTATCTCTTCTTCCCAGAGCCTTAATTTCAGTCATTAATAATCAACACTGTGGGTGCAGAGTAACAGATAATTCAGGCCTGGCAAAATAATAGCTATTGCTGGCATGCATGCCATTTGAAGAATTGGAGGATAACATTCACTATTCATGAGCATGTGTATGAACACAGACATGTAGGTGTTAGTTACCCGATGCTTGAAGAACAGTGTCAGCACAGCGTGTGAACAAAGACTTGTTAGATTTATGGAAATACAGAAGAAGACACGAGAACTAAACATGTTTCCAAACGCAAAATGTATTTACCCAAATTAAAATTACATAAAATGGATCTTATGAGCTGATGTAAGAACGGGTGAGGAGAGTGTGGATTGAGGTCATCTATATCATTATCCCAAAACTGAGTGAGTACTGACTGACTGAGTTTGGTTTTACGCCGCTTTTAGCAATATTCCAGCAACACCACGGCGGGGACACCAGAAATGGGCTTCACACATTGTGCCCATGTGGGGATTCGAACCCGGGTCTTCGGCGTGACGAGCCAACGCTTTAACCATTAGGCTACCCCACCTCCCAAAACTGAGTGAGTAATGTTTTACACTGCTATTAGCAATATTCCAGCAATAGCATTGCAGCGGACACCAGAAATGGACACTTTGTACCCAGGGGTGAATTCAACTCAGGTCTTTTGTGTGATAAGCAAACACTTTAACCACTAGTCAACCTGACCGCCCTATATGCCAACACTATCCCATTTGAAACCACCAGTCTACCCTAATGTCTTTGCTGATAATGCCGGTTGGTAATAACATACGTGAAAAGCAAAAGTAATTAAAGAAAACCGATTAGTTTAATATGAGTGCTGTTTATCTGTCATATCATACAGTGAGTGAGTGAGTTTAGCTTTACGACGCACTCAGCAATATTCCAGCAATATGGCGGCAGTCTGTAAATATTCGAGTCTGGACCAGACAATCCAGTGATCAACAGCATGGGCATCGATCTGCGTGATTGGGAACCGATGACATGTGTCAACCAAGCCAGCGAGCCTGACCACTCGATCCTGTTAGTCGCCTCTTACAACAAGCATGGGTTACTGAAGGTACATTCTAACCTGGACCTTCACGGGTCTCATATCATACAGCTTAACTCTAGTAATATGTAGAAACTGGATGTTCTTTAACTTTTCTTGAGTAATATATTTGGCAGAAATTGTGAACTTCTTTATTACAAGAACAGAGCAACAGGTATGTTTTAACACTTTATAGGGTATCTTTAACATGTTAAATCTCCCTGCTCCCTAGGTAATCAACAGGTGTTGGTTTCAGAGATTCACCCACAGGTCTAAACATTGATCAGCTGAGGCATTACAAATACATGCTTCTCCATTTCCACCTTACAGAAGGACTGTTTAACTTGACAGTTAAAAAAGATGGATGAGTTCCTTCCAGGATTAAACTGTTTGAAAAACAAATTAGACTTGCGGTCCAAACAGCACCAGCTTCCCTTGTTCACTATTTGTCAGGAAAACGGTGACATCGATACACGGAAACCACCGGAGCATACAACGCTGTTGTATTGATTGCCGAGTTGCACTAACAGTAGAGGAGCTTATTATTTATTGATTGCTGTCCTCTCGCCAAGAGACAAGTGGGCCCCATCCAGACACGTGTGGATCAAATATCATATAATAGCTTCAACAACCAAGCCACCTCGCAGGTAGCTGAACGGAGCTAGTGTTGCAATGGAACACACTTCCCTTTGCGGGAACGTCACAGTCCACAGATCTGTCCTATCATCATCATCCAATAATGCAAATATCTTGTAAGCAACAGAAAGAATAGTTACAGTGAGAGTTGTTTGGTTGTTTTTAAAAAAATTCAATTACCCTTTGTCAAAGATCTTTAAAAACAGAAAAGTTATTTTTACTGAGCTCCTTTCTTCTTGAATAATCTATTATATTTAGAATTTTTTTTATTCTCTTTCATTTCTCTGTGTCTCTGTGGTACCCACAGGAAACTGGCAACCATAATCCAGAGGGAACGTTTGCGACATAATTGTCTATTTTTCAGAATGAACAACTAAAATTTATTAATACAAGAACATGAGCGTGTGTACAATGAAAGACAATAAAACAATCTGCCACTGATTAAAAATGTCTAGCAATCATACATAATTTAAAATTATCATTATGAGTATAAATATTTAATGTCTTTACAACAAGCAATAACAAACACCATTTGGTTTCTCTGTTGCTACACACTTAACGACATGCTCAAACTTTCAAGTTGACAGGTGTCTCTACCATTTCAGAGCAATCATTCCAGGAAACATATTCTCTTTCAATTCATTTAATGAACAGGAACGAATATCTAATTTCTTTCAATGCAATTACGAGGTTTTCAAGGTAATACCCCATACTCAAACAATAACAAATTGAGGCGTGCCCTTTATTCCTCTATGATAAGGGGGTCAGTCTGATCTCAGCGGGACGCCATTAGAACATTCAGCCCGTGTTGTGATGTTCAGTCACCAGTATCCCCGCGAGACGTTTATGCTCATTGCCGAACTCATGAAAACAACAAGGACAGCCCCAGTTCATGCACTAGTAGATAGATACACATGTCCGTCTATGAAGCAACTCGGTTGTGAAATTGCAGAGGCATTAAAAATGGAAAGGTTTATGCCGAATATATCATGCCTGATTAGATTCTTTGTACCTTATCTTTGTGATCTAAATAATCAGGGGACTTGGACAAAGGTAGGCTTTCCATGTACAATGTGGCATACAGCTTCATCACTCATCACATGCAATAATTGTTTGACCAGTCTACAGAAGATACAAACACATACACTATGGCATTGTCTCGTCCAAGTCATTAAGCTACATTATTACAGTAAACCCTATTTACAAACTTGATCCAAGCCATGAGTATGTTCTTCAGGTTACAATGAGACTTCACTTTCTGGAGCCACCTGGATGCTGCTAGTATACTGCTAAACACTGGCATAAAACCCAACTCATTCAACCACTTTGTGGAGACTTAACAACTCATGTGCAAGCTGAATTTTCTGGCTTTGGGTAACTACCATTTTTTCACAAATTGTTTAAACTTTGAGTACTACTTGAACTGCAGTGAAGTTACAAATGTTACAATGAGAGTTTTTTGGGTTTTTTTTTTAAAATTTCAATTACCCTTTGTCTAAAGATCTTTGAAAACAAACTGAATTTTCTGGCTTTGGGTAACTAGCAATCTTTCACAAATTGTTTATACTTTGAGTACTACATGAACTGCCTTGAAGTTACAAATGTTATTTCCGACCAACTCATAACACTCCCAGTAGACAATAAAGGCTGTTCTGTGGCGGAAGTTTGTACCTGTATATACATTATACTCTGGTTGAGTGTTAGTGTATACATTATTCCCTGGTTGAGTGTTAATAGCAAGAATAAAAGGCTTACCTTCAGTGCACAGAATATACAGGAGTTGCCCATGCACACATGGCCTGTGAGGCATCGGTAGCTTCGTCGAAACACATCCAAGTGCCAGAACACCTGCAACAGAGATACGGACATATTAACAAAGTTCTGACTGGTTTCGACAAGAAACACACCACAACTTGCAAACACTGGAGAGAGTCTCAGAGAAAGAGGTCACAAATATTCAACATTTCTTTCTGGCATGATGCGATTCACTGTACATGTTTTCTGAATACAAAATAGGCAAGTTACTAGTCACACACTATTAATGACAATCCACAGGTGAAACAATATTACCGTAAATAAACTTGTTAACATTTGCATAAGTCAGACTTTCAGAAACCGAACATCCACAGAAAATAATATTCATCTGTCCATTATGTGACGTAACAGGAAAATGACTTACTGGATACGGACATCAAATGGGGATTTAGTTGCCAATGGTGTTTTGTTTCTATGAAAAGCATTGAAATTGTGTAACCTGGAGATATGTTTCCTAGTTCTATGAATAACTATGTCAACTGATTAACTCTTGATTAGGAAGAGGATGTATGAACAAAACTAGCCAATCACAGTAACTCTCATTGATAATGAGGAACTGTAATGAAAGAAATGAATCCACCTTTCTTAATAGGAGACACGAAAGGACATCAACCAAAATCCTCCTTTTAAAATTATACACGATATATTTTAATGGCCTTGAAAAATCACACAAGTCATAGCAAGTCTAGATGCAATAACCACCCATAACACTGGCTGTCCAAATGCTGATTTGCATATTTATTCAACTGTTTGACAGGTTACATAGAACTATACACCGAGCGGATGTGAGGACTTAGCTGACTCCACACCTTAACAGCTTTATCTAGAGGCCACATACACTTGAAACTCTCAAGAGAAGGACCATTTCTTCTTTGCCTTTAGGTGGAGACAGGTCTTAATCAGCAATTTGTCAATGATACAATTCCTTCTGAAAGCACACCTCTTTTCATTAGTGACACCGCTATGCTTCTCCTAGCAGCGCAGCGCTCGCCCCTGGTATGGCACTTAACAGTACAGTCATAAAACGTTCTCTATACCGGATACAATCAACCTAACAACTGCTTTCAACACCTATACAATATTTTTCTACTATTTTCGCCGGCACTGTATTATTTGGTACAGGGTAATAAATTTAATTTGGCCACCAGCTGTTATGTTCAAACATGATATGAATTATCTTGATTCTATTATATTTTTTAGGAAACCATGTACCGGTATACTGCACATCACAACATAATTTGATTTTCTTGAAAAGCTCAACAATTGAACTATGCTTAAGATTGTGCTATACATGTATGAAAATTTCTGATATTATGATTACACAGGTCCCTCATGACAAAACAATAAGCAAATACTACAGTTGCTATCATTCAACAGAAACTGACAAAATTCACATTTTCCTCACTGAAACTTCCACCTTCACAACCTGAATACATTATCATATTACAATTTCAAGTTGTCAAGTAAGCACAAGCTAAGGACACGTGGGACAAGATGATGATGACTAAACAGACATGTTCGTATTCAGCACGTGTCACCATCCCCAATGCTAAGCAATAAACATTAATATTTCACATTTATCCTGTAACAGCTGTTTCCTGATATGAAAATCAGCCTCCCGATGGTGACGACAACAAAGAGCTTCCTACCTCCTAATCTACAATTCTAATTAGCAGTTTCATGTTTAATCAAATATTATCTTATACCTGTACCCAATGTCAATTAACGCCACAAGAAAATATATTTGTAATGTTGAAGAAAATGTGTTTCAAAATTCAGTATGATATATTGTATTTAAAGACAGTCCCCTTTTGTAAAAGATTTACTGCACAGCTATATGTTTTGTCTAGAACTTTCCATTGTCTGTTTTCCTGTTGCCATAGGAACCGTTCAGTTCCATCATCATAAATTGACTGATTGAGAGTCTTTATACGCATTTATAGGAAATCCCGAAAAAGTCATTTCCAATAGCCGATAATTACTAAGAGTACTGGCAACTTAGTAACAGCTGACTCACTGTCCTCAGAACGGCCAATGATTAATACATCTTCAGTTATAACATAATATCATAGGAAATCCCCACCTAGGGTCAACCCCTTATAACGCCCTGTCGGCAAGGTAACCAGACAAACAAAGATACTCTTCAAAGCAGGCTATTTATAGCCATTGATTTGTGCACACTGCACTGACAATACCTGACAATGCGTCTTATTGTATTTCCTAACAAGCAGCAATCAATGACCCAACTGGAGTTTGCCTCGCGCTGCCAGAGAGCAGACAAAGAGATACACTATTACCTGATTATATTGCTCGAGACATTGCTAAATTACCTGCACACAAGCCACAGACGAATCTGCTCAGGAGTTCCATCAAAGTGCATAATTAGTGTCAATTTGAATACTGAGATTCAACCCTCTGTGTAATCAAATCTGTAACTTGGTTTTACCTTCATTGTTCGTGTTCAGGTAATTCGTAAGATGCAGGTATAAAGATAATGCACAGAGGGATTTCAGATCATGATTCATTCTGCATCATAAACCATCAATGATTAATAGGAAACACAATCACAAGATACCATCAAAAGGTTCACAGGGTTTAATATGAAATCTTTAATGTCACTGTGCAAACAATTAAATCAATTTTTTACTGCTGAGTTAAACACAGTCGTAATGCCTGTTGTCTCAAGGACAGCTCCTCCAACAAGTGGTCGAGGCCATAGCTCCACATGGAAAACAACAGCCTTTTGTAACACCGACCCGACATTCATGACAGTATTGATGATGCAATGAGAATCAAAAATCTAAGGACGGCACAATGACACTCAGCTAACAGTCTTTTGAAATGTGTGGAGTTTCAAGTTTTCTGCACTTTTTTATTGCCCTTTTTTGCCACTTTAACTGCAGATGTTGAGGATCAAAACACAAATGCAGACTCTGTCTTTTAATTTCATCATAGGCTCCTCAAATTACTGACAGATGGAAAGCAGAAGCTGGCAATACTATTTTTAAAATCTTGCCGGCACTTTGAAGAAAGAACAATGATGTGTTTGAAGGCGTAAGCAAGTCAATGGAGTGGAACAACCAGTCCAGCAACAACTGTGTGGAGGTATTCAACAAAGGTAGTTTATCCCTGGAGCAAAGACAAAATGGCTGACTGAACTCACATCATGGCTGAGGGATTCAGCAGTGGGACTCAGATCAGTGGCTCCACCCAAGATACAACTAGCTGTTTACTCATGCGAAACATGAGACAGTTGTCCATCAATGACTATGTTCCAGAATAAACAAATTAAAAACGGACATTGCAAAACCGACACCTGTAGCAGCTGAAGTCAATTATTAATGTAAGCAATATGGCCAAGTTTCATTTCACAGAAGTGTGGAAATGATCTGTATGCCATGAACCAACTCACAAACTGTGAACCATTCATTATTTACTCCTCTCAAGCACTGTCAAGCAGATTAAACTGTCGCCTGTCTGCACAATTAATCTTTCAAAATGCATGATTGACTTCCTTACCACCTAACTGGATATTGTAAAAATCGCCTTGCAATAAGCCCTGAATATCCCTACAGACAATGTTAAATAATAGAAAGAATTGCGAACTTGATCCAATTATAGTCATTATCAAACTTCATACATTGTTGAAAACTGTCCGCTGTTTTTCATAAGTGACTAAGGCAAGAATATCTAAGGCAAGTAATCACTTTGGGGTTCAGTCCAAATAGTGTTTTCAATCAATCACAGGAAGGTAACAATATTCGTTGAAATTAAGTGTAACAGGTGACAACAAAGACACGTGTGAAGGACAATAGCTGGATTTTCTTGCAAGTGACCTCCATCTTGCAACCTCCACTGGACAATGGACCAGGGGGAGATAACTGTAACCGTACACCAATGGCCTGGGGCTATAGTAATTAGCAGGTGCTTGGTCAGTCCTGGCCTTTATGCTGTAGCCACAGTGGGCGTGGGGGGAGGCCTTTTCAAAGAATAATACCTGCCAGGTAAAGCCTCTTCTCATTTTGAGAGTGTAAATACAGGAATTTCAGTTGACATGTGATTGGTTTTCTTGGTTAGAATATTATCCAGACTAAGAAACGTGCCCTGTAATAATAAAATTGGCTGGAGTTGTACCTTTCATGTTTACTTATAATTGAAAGTGTTTTGACAAGTAATCAAATGTAAAAAAAAATCAAGAAACGTATTGCTTTAACAGCTTAGTTTAGTGTGTATCAGATTAATTGTCATGTTATCAGTTGACATTTTGTAACATTAATTCTCCAAAGCTGTCGTGTGAGCAGAGACAATTATTTTCAAGCTTGACTGGTCAACACATTTTATGACATAATGCACAGTTGAATATATGATGATGAGAACACTGTTGCCTCACACTCAAGTATTTTATAACTGGACCCATGCAAAACTTTGTTGCTATTCCTCTGAGACTAACAAAAGAAACTGATTTAACTTCAATCTTCTTAATCATGCCATGAATGGCTTAACTACAACAAGACAATTTGTGGGTCTTGACAGCTTAAAGCTTTGCTATTAAATTGCTGCACTGGAGCATGAACTTCATGTCAAAATGTCAAAGCAGACTCCACAACTGCCATGATTGCTTTGCCCACTCAAAATGACAAAGCCCAGGCTTACCTTGTGGGGGTCAGTCAGATAATTGAGGCAGTAAAGAGGAGCTGATAAGTCTTATATTAATGGGAGCTCAGGTTTCAACACACTACACAACAGCAACTAACTCAAAATTCAGATAAGTAGCTGTGGATTTCTGATTCTGAATGCACTTGCAAAATATGGCATATTGATCCTTCAGAAAATTACTCTCTAAAAAAGTAATACCCGTAAAATCTACAGCTCAAACCATAACAATTGATCTTTCGGACAATGGTCAGTCGTGTGACCATCTGCTTGCGCTGTACCTTATAAGCTTGACTGACCAGGTCAGCGTCAATGCTTCTTAATTAATCAAGTCGGGACCTGCACAGGTAAATCAGTGCCACAACAAGCAGATGTGTCCA